TTAAATTGTATTTCAAAGACTCAACCCATTTTCTTAGAATACTGTCGAAGTTAATCATGCACAGACCCAGTGAATTTTGTGGCATTTCCAAACATTTGGTGTTCTCGTAGTTGGAGCCCTCGCTTTCTAGAGGTTTGGAGGCCTTTTGTGGAGATCACCATTCTTGGTGCTGAACTAGCTGATTAGTGACTTTTCCGGAGTTTTGTTGGTGATGGAAACTTTTTCATTAACAGTACAGGGAAATAAGAGGAGGGTTTTACATGGGGTGAGGGGCACTTTTGAAGATACAGATCTCAAATACATTTAAAATAGGACCCAGAAAAGATGCTGCAGAAAATGTTAAAGAAAAAAAAGTTTACAAGAATACCTGGCCAGGTAGCTCAGTTGGTTAGAGTGTTGTCCTGCTAGCCCTAAGGCTGTGGGTTCAGTCCCCAGTCAGAGCATAAGAGGCAACCAATGAACGCATAAATACATGGAACAACAAAATAAAGTTTCTCTGTGTCTTCCCCACCCCCTCTAAAATCAATAAATAAAAATTAAATACAAGAATAATAGCAGACACGAAACTCTCCTTTGCCAAGAGTTAACAATAGCCAAAAGATCCTTTGGAAGGACAGAAGGGGGCACTGTTTGGAGGCATCTTTTTTTAATGAAGCCTTTGGGCTTCCTTAGGAGTGTAACTTCCTGGCCCGGGGCCTGGCAGAAAGTCTGTGTATTACACAAGGAGAATTGAAGTATGTTCTGCAGCTTGGGCCCTGTAAGCTGTGATCCTGTTTAAGGTTGACGAGCATAGTTCACTATGAAATGAAGCAAGGAATTTGGCGTTTGTAGGTTGTGAGTCAGTTTTGACATCAGCCTGGACTGGGAATTGACTGGAAGGTTTGGGGTTTGGACCGTGGCTGCGCTTCAAGTGTCTCGATCCAGAGGCATGCATGAGCAATACTTCCCTCCGGGCTTTGGCCATTAATCTGTGGAACGGAGGGGGAGCCGGGGAGGAAGGCTGAGAGACTGCTTTGGATTTCCTCACTCCCGCTCAGTCAAGAAGCAGTGGGAGGCCCTTCCCTTCCCCACGAAGAAGGCCTGGTCCCTTCGCATGCAATCCCAGTGTGTGCGTCCGTGTTAGGGACAGTCCCCTCTTAACCCAGCCTCCAAACGCACGGTCACCCCTGGGCAAGGATCTGCGATCCTCCTACTCCAGGTGTTTTCCAGGCCACTTCCCCTGATTATGTAACTTTGATCAAATCCAGATGCTGCAGGATGCTTGATAGGAGAGGTCAAATGGCACTGGAGAAGAGAAGCATTTCCGTATTCATGACTTGGGTTTAATTTCCTGTGTGGGCCCGGTCTGCGAGAGCCGTACGCTCAGGGCCTCGAGGTTGGGTGTCTGGAGGGACACGCACACGCACTTTTCCGGGACAACTTGGGGAGATACCCTCCTCCCCCCGTGTGCTTTTTCATGTGGGATGGTCAGTTATGTGATTGAGCATCAGCTGGCTCCTATTTGTAACAGTTTTTCTGTTTCTGTTTATTGTTTTATTTTTTTTTAAGACATTATGTTTTAGAGAGAGGAAGGGAGGGAGAGAAACATCAGTGTGTGGTTTCCTCTCATGTGCCCCCTACTGGGGACCTGGCCCACAACCGAGGCATGTGCCCTGACTGGGAATCGAACCAGCGACCCTTTGGTTCACAGGCCAGTGCTCAATCCACTGAGCCACACCAGTCAGGGCTGTTCATTGTTTTCTGATGATAAAAACAATAGGCCAAAATAAAGGGAAAATGAAGAAAGTTTTCAGTGTAATTCCACCACCCCAAGTTTTAACTTCTTTTAATGGTACTGTTAACACACCACCTTGAGTTAGCTGCCATTCACATTTTAGTGTCTGTCCTTCTGGACCTTTTTCAGTTTTCTCCCAAAATATTTTGAATGGCTTTATGAGTATGTTCTGTTTTATGGGTGGGGTCACAAACCAGCTCGTCTTGGGTTGATAAATACTTGTGCTTTTCCCCTTTCTGTGTTACCTAGAAATCCGCATAAACAGACCAGGTGTGGATCTCTTAGGATCAATTCCTAGAGGTGGGTCAAAGGTTAATGGATTTTTAAAAGACCCGGTTAGTGTCTCCAGTTGCCCTCCTGCGTGTTCCCCAGCGTGAGAGCACCCGCTTCACTGACGTCTTGCGCTGTGGGCCGTTAGCAACGGTGCCCACTGCGCTGGTGCAGAACTTGCATCTCCCAGACACTAGAGGGTTTAATGGCAATTTAAATTTTTTGTCAATTGCGTATTCGTGGTTTTTGTCCATTTCTCCATGGTGGAGAGGCCTGTCTTTGGCTGTGCAGAAGTTATCTTACGTCAGGAATCATCCTCTGCCTGATAGGGTCCCAGGAGACGTCCTTTTGACGTGCTTCCACTCACCGAAGCGCCGCCGCCCGAGCCACCGCCACACCGTGCCCACCCCCGGCGGCAGCCCCACCAACACCGGTCATGTTTCTTTCCAGATCTGTGTGTTTTAGGTAGACTTGTTTTACTTACTTGGTTAATGTGAAGCCAGTGAAATCCAGATGTGAAGGGAGAACTCTTTCTGTGTAAATGAATGCTTCAGACGGACTCGGTAAAGGGCAGCAACTTTGAAAACCGCCACTGGGCTAGGCCTGAGGGACGCGCCTGTGGGCAGTTGGCAGGACGTGCTGGGGTGCCATAGCACGTGGCCCCGAGTCCTCCCTTCACCTGTGGGACGGTGCGACACAGGGGGGTCTTAGAGCAGATGACCACGCCTACGCTGATTGCATGCCCACTGGAAGGGTGGCCCTCAGCCCTGCGACCAGGACCGGCAGGCCGGTGGACGCGCTGGTCAGGGAGACCACGTGTTCCCATGAAAGTAGTGCTGATGCCCTGCGTCGCCAGGTGGTTGTGTCCTTGTCTGTTGGCTGGTCAGTCCCTGACCACGAGGGTGCTAGGCAGAGTTTTAGAGCCAGTGTAAGCACTCAGAGAACAGGGCCTAACACATCCCTGAGCCTTTTCCACATCCTAGGGAAGGGCAGAGCCACCCTTGTCCTTGACTTTACCTTCGCCCTTGTGATTCATAAGGTGAAATTACCGAGCATAGTAATGATCTAATTTGGGATGTACTCCTTTAGAAAAACAATCCCTGAAGGTTTACTTCAGTCAGTTGCACAGAAGCTAGAATTAAAAGACCTTACATTGTTTACATTCTGTTGGTTTATTCCAGAGAGAGATTTTAAAGAGTGGCCATTTTTGAGAGTTCTCAGTCACCGTTCTGGAAGTGTAGCTTAGTCCCTCAGCTGTCCTAGGCACTTCCAGGGTTTTGTTTGTTTGCTTGTTTTTAGGTGAATGCTGCAGAGTCAGGCCTGTCCTCGAGATGGGCAATGTTACTGCCTAAAAAAAGATGCTTGGGTGTCCTCTAAATCCGTAAAGAGAGAAAAGTAAAACAGTTTTGTTTCGTCACCACTTGGGTTTGGCTTAAGCATGTGATAGATCCTTTTGTTCTTTTCAAATTAGAATTCCTCCTCTCCTCCTTCTTAAAAAGATATTTTTGCCCTGGATGGTATAGCTCAGTGGATTGAGCACAGGCTGCAAACCAGAGGGTCACAGGTTCAATTCCCAGTCAGGGCACATGCCTGGGTTGTGGGCCAGGCCCCCAGTGGGGTCCACACGAGAGGCAACCAACTAATGTTTCTCTTGCATGTCGATGTTTCTCTCCCTCTCTTTCTCTCTCCCCTCCCTCTAAACAAATAAAATCTTTTAAAATATTTTTTAAAAATAAAAAGGTTTTTTCTTTATTTTTAGAGAGAGGAGAAGGGAGCGAGAAAGCGAGGGAAAGAAACATTGATACGAGAGAGAAACATCATTTGGTTGCCACTCACCTGCCCCCAGCCTGCGAACTGGCCCACAACCCAGGCATGTGCCCTGACTGGGAGTTGAACCTGTGACCCCCACATCTTTATATAAACTGTTAAGATCTACTTGGGAGTAGATTTGTTTGTTTCAAAGAACCCTCGTGCATATTGGACATTTTCTCAGAGAAATTCTAGAGCGTTTCAGCATAGTTCAGGAAAAAGAAAAGCAAGAAGAAACTCCAGGAGAAAATAATGAACAATTTTGACCCTGCGGTGACTGATAGTCACACATTGCTAATACAAGAGATGTGGACTGTCTCTCAGTATTTAGAATCTACCTGTAGACAAGACGCGAAAGATTTCGTTGCAGAAGAAGACACTGTTCCCTTTCACAAGGTGCACGTCAGAGGCGGGCAGGCCCTGTTTGAGGGGCGCAGAGCGGGGCGGCCGGGGGGCAGGCGAGGGTGCCAGCGCCCCTGCCGTAGGGAGTAGGGAGTGGACAGAGGCCGTCTCCAGCTGGCAGAACGAGAGGTAAAGCTGTGAGTCTGATGCTGCAGACACCACGGTGACCAGTAAAGGACGGCACCGGGGACGTGGGGGTGGGCGCTTGGGGGTTCAGAGTGATACAGCGTATGTTTAGAGGGATGGAAATGGTCACCCCAAAATTAGCTCTTGGCTCTGGGTATAGAGGAGAGTGGATGGAAAATGTTGGTCTTTCATGATAAGCCCTTCTGGACTATTTGATTTTAGATTATGTGCATATGTTAACTTCGATACATTTAAAAATGGTTCAAAGCAAGAAACTTTCCCTCCCTATTACCACATAAGCAGTGGCAACCTTATGAGTACGGACCATCTCCATTTCTAACAATTCATTTTTCATCTTCACTGAGTTAATGAGTTAAAAGGCTTAACCGATTCAGGAACATTACCTTGGAACATAAATACTTAGTGTTTTTCACCAGATTTGGGAAAGGGAGATTCCGTTTTCTATTCATGTATAATACCCACCAGTGTTAAGAAACAGACTAAATTAGGAGTGTATAATTTTGGAAATACAGACTTTTTTTTGCTCCGGAGAACAAAATCACTTTTTCCGTAGCTCGCTTCTTTCTTGCTTTCGTTCATTCCCATGTTCCTCTTGCAGAAGCCCTCCAAAGGCCGGTCGCGTCCGACTTCGAGCCCCAAGGCCTGAGCGAGGCAGCTCGCTGGAACTCCAAAGAAAACCTCCTGGCCGGTCCCAGTGAAAACGACCCCAACCTCTTTGTCGCGCTCTACGACTTTGTGGCCAGTGGGGATAACACTCTCAGCATCACCAAAGGTGAGTGGCCGTGGGCAGCAGGCAGTAGTTGCTAGTGTGGGAAATTGGGGGAAACCGTGGCTTGATTGATTGATTGTTCACCCCTTTGCTGATTAGAAGCACAGATTTAAAATTTGGGATGCAGAGATACCGGAAGGCACACCTGTGCAAGGAAAGCACAGCCTCCTCGTGAGCGACTCGCGTTCTTTGCGATGGGCCCTGTACAGTAGTCCTTCCCCCAGATGGAGCTGTTATTCCACACTGAAAAAGGCCCCGGCAGCAGACACTGGAAACCCTTTTTTATAAAAGAAAAAGGGTTTTTCCCCCTAAAAAGCTTCCTTGCATTAGGAACATTTGAGCTAACAAACAGGTTTATAAAAACCAGGGCTACATGTTTACCTCCGTGTCCCACACAGACAGGGAGCCTCACGCACAGCCTTCTCTTACACACTTAAAAACACGTGTGTTTGTGTGGACTTGGTAGAATGAAGTAGGTGTTTGGGGATTTGGAGGTTTAGTAATCATCCAAGACTAAGCAAGAATGAGTGAATTAAGAAGCTGATGTGTGTGACTTTGTTCTTCTCTCCTAAGGCGAAAAGCTCCGGGTCCTAGGCTACAATCACAATGGGGAGTGGTGTGAAGCCCAGACCAAAAACGGCCAGGGGTGGGTCCCGAGCAACTACATCACGCCCGTCAACAGCCTGGAGAAGCACTCCTGGTACCACGGGCCGGTGTCGCGCAACGCGGCCGAGTACCTGCTGAGCAGCGGGATCAACGGCAGCTTCCTGGTGCGGGAGAGCGAGAGCAGCCCCGGGCAGAGGTCCATCTCGCTGCGGTACGAAGGGAGGGTGTACCACTACCGGATCAACACCGCTTCTGATGGCAAGGTAGGGCCCAGTCAGGTAGGGGGGAGGTTGCCGAGGGAGGGGTCGTCTTTGGCCAGGAGCACCTGCAGTCCTGCTGGGTTGGTAAATTCCCACAGCAGAGTTCAGCCAAAAAGACATTTGAAGAAGCTTTCGAGGACACAGCCGGCACCCTTCCATTTGCCTTGTGAGCCACCCCTGTGGAGGACTGACCACACGCTGTCATAAGGGCCGCATGGTTCTCTGATTGTCCTGCCGGAACACTGTCCTTAGCAGTGGCATAGGACAGGTGGGTGTCCACCAGGTTTCATCTGTGCCTCTTGCAGCAAGACTCTGCTTTGTGAAAAAACCTCTTAGGATAGTGAGTTCTCTTCAATGAGAAAAACTCAGACAAAGATGGATATTTTCAAAGTGAAAAGCCACCTTAATACCACCTAATAGAAGTCTGATACATGGCCTTCTTCCTGTGGATAAAATCATGTGTGTGTGTGTGTGTGTACATGTACAGAGTTTTTACATAAAAGCGGGATCACATTATACCCATAGGTTTCCAAGCCTAACCTGTGGTTTTGTGATCTTCACCTAAAGCATCCTTATGAGTCCTGAAGGGCCGGAAGGAGGGAGCGCCCGCTGCGCTCCCGCTGCGCTGAGGGTTCCTCACCCTTCCTCTCCTCCGAACCTCCCTGTTCTTCAGGGCAGGGTTTCTGAGATCTGCACCTCCACGCCAAGGAGTGGGTGCCCGGAGGGACGCCGCCTCTGGGCCGTGCCCCTGCTGTGGGCTCCGCTACTCTGCACGGCCCGGCAGGGCCTGGGCGGTGGATTGCGAGAGCAGGTCCAGGCAGCGTATATATTCTGTAACAATGTCTAGTTCATGCACAGGGTTTGAGAAAAACGATTTAGAGTGAAAGTAATTCTGTCTCCTGATTTGGTGCCCTGCCCAGAGGGAACCACTAGGACCAGTTTCTTCCGGAGTTAATTCAGTGGATATATATTTATATTTATAAACATATAAGTATGTATTTATTAAAAACAAACGACGCGCACTGCACACTGTGCCGCCTCTGGCTCTTCCCCCCGATCGTGGATGTGTTTGGGAGATGGTCTGAGGCAGCAGGTTCAGAGCCGCCTCGCGTGCTCCGCACTGGAGCCGTCCCCTGCTGGTGGCCGGTGGTCGTTGGGGTTGTCTCCCGTCTCAGGCTGTTACAAATAATGCTCTTATTGGGTGGCTTTCAACCCTTTAAAAATAATCTTTGCCTGCCGTAAAAAAAAAACAAACATATTACATCACCACCCAGTACTCCCATTAACAGGCGGTTTGTGAAACTCTGCTTACTCTTTTTTTAAAAAATGTTCTTTTATTAATTAGAGAAACACCGATTTGTTGTCCACTTATTTGTGCATTCATTGGTTGATTCTTGTGTGCGCCCTGAAGGGAGATTGAACCCACAACTGTGGTGCATGGGGACAGCACTCTAACCAACGGAGCTACCCGGCCAGGGCCAACTCTGCTTACTCTTAATGTGTTCAGTGCACTCTGCTTCTTTGTATTCCGTGCTGTTCTGTTTATTTTTTGAAAAATTTAGGTCATAATCCAGGAAACTGGTTTCATAGGCCCCTAGCAGGCCCTGCGGTGCAGCTTGAAAACACACCACACGCACCTGTGTGCGGTGAAGCGCGTGCGGGGCAGGCGGCGAGAGCTGACGGTGGAGGGTGTGTGCGCTTACGTTTGTGTCGGTGCCGCACAGCTACTTCCTGTGGAAACTGTACGGCTGTGTTTCCTCACCAGCAGCACGTGGGAATCGTGTGCTTCCTCACCCTCGTCGCAGCAGGTTGTCAGACCCGCAAACACACCTCTCACTGGTCGGTAAAGCCGGTGCCTCATTACGGTTACTGCACGTGTGTCATATTTTGAGTGACCCCCATGCCATTTACTGAAGTCACCTCCCCCCACTTATTTGAAATACCCCAAACCTGCGTATGCATTTAGGGCTGGTGATCTCTGTCTCTTCTCTTCTGTTGGTCTGTCTGTACCTGTGCGAGGACCAGACTTTTAACTTGTTACGTCTTATAATAATGTTTTCGTATCTGGTAGGGCTAGTCCCCTCTTCTCCATCTTTTTAGCATTTTTATAGTTTTCCTCACACATTCATTGTGCCACCCATACAGCTGCACTGTGTGTGTGTGTGTGTGTGTGTGTGTGGTCTGTCTGGAAAAGTCCAGCCATCGTTAATGTAACGAGAATGGTTGGCATGACATCAATGTAACCCGGAGCCGGGAGAGTGGCCCGGAATGCGCATGGGTGAACAGTGACGACCTCGCTGTACTGGTCAGCGGGGGCAGACCCCGTAGAGTGAGTGTGTGTGCTGTGCGGCTGTCACACTCCAAATGACTGAGCGAGTAGAACTTCAAATCTGCATCAGATTTTGCGTGAAGCTTGAACATCCCTCCGTGGAAACTACTCGGGTGACTCAGGAGGCTTTCAGGGATGACGCAACGAGTGCAGTGCAAATGAAAGTCTGGCACAGACCCTTCAAAGGTGGCGAGAATCTGTTGAGAGTGGCCCACGTCCTGGAAGGCCTGCGACAAGCAGAGCGCCGAGGGTGTTGGACGTACGCGGGCTGCAGTCCCCGGAGATTAGCGACTCGCGGTGCGAGAACCAGAAGCTGCTCTGGGGATTCTGGAAACTGCCGTGTCTGAGATTTTGATGCAGGGTCTTGGCATGAAACATGTCATGGCAAAATTGGTTCCATGGCTTCTGCTACCAGAGCAGAAGGCACATTGTGCTGCAGTTGCTAGTGACTTGATTCAAACTGCTATCAGAGAACCAGGTTTCCTCAAGAAGCTCGTAACCAGAGATGAATTGTGGGTCTAGAGCTGTGATCTGGAAAGATGGCCCAGTGCCCCAGGAAGAAGGTACAGCAAAGTCGCAGCGAGATCAAGACCATGTTAGCTGTGTCTCTTTGATTGGGAAGGCGTTGTCCATCATGAGTGCGCCCCTCCAGCCAAACAGTTAATGAGAACACCACCTCATTGTCTTTCAGTGGTGGAGAGTTGCAGTTCAACAAAAGTGGCCCAAATTGGGCATCTATGACTGACTGGCAGCTTCATTGCAACAAAGCTCCTGCTTACTCATCCCATCTGGTGCGGAGGTTTTTTCTCAGTGAAACATCAAATCATCCAGGTGACTCAGTTCCCCTACAGCCAGATTTGGTGCCCTGTGACTTTCGGCTGTTCCCAAAACTAAAATCACCTTTGAAAGGGAAGAGATTTTAGACCATTGATGAGATTCAGGAAAATACAGTGGGGCAGCTGGTGGCGATTCCCACGAAGGATTTTGCAGTGTTTTGAACAGTGGAAGAGACGCTGGGAGAGCTGTGTGAGGCCCCAAGGTGCCTACTTTGAAGGAGACTGTGGTGGTGTTGTCCAAATACAGTGTTTCTTGTATTTCAGTAAATGCCTCTCTCTTTCACAGTGCATGGCTGGATACTTTCTGGGGTGTGTGTGTGTGTGTGTGTGTGTGTGTGTGTGTGTAGTAGAGATGTCCTTACCTGTTTTTCCCACGTGTGTTAAAGTCGTCTGGCCCAAGTCCCGTTGCCAACACCTGGTGCTCTCCCTCACGGTGGATGTCTCCGTGCCAGCACAGCGGTTTGTGCGGCAGACGGCATAGTCTGGTGGTGGTGTGTGACTAGAGAGCAGGCTCATCAGCTTGCTTTTGGGGCATTGTCTCATCCCAGATGTGGAACAAGGCCCTTCCTTTCTGTAGGACGTGATCTGGTGGGGTGGCCCTTCGAAGCCTTGCCTTCAGACCCAGGGCGGCCTTCTTCACGAATTAAAGCAGCAGAGTGCACCTAAGGGAGGCGATCTCCTACAGCCGCCGTGCTGGTCCCCACCTGCGCTGCTCATCAAGGGCAAGCCACACTGCACCAAATTGTCAGCTGAGGTTTGTGTTGAACAGGGCGGCCGTCTGTTTTCCATGGAGTTGTTTGATCGGTGTCCTCGCAGGCAGGCATGATCTAGTCTGACAGCTCAAAGGCAGAGAGCTAGGCCTACGTGTGGGACGCAAGGCTTGCAGATTCAAGAGTCAGCCGGTGAGGAAGACAATCCCTCTGTCTCGAAGCTGGTGTGTACAGGGGCACCTTTTGCTCCGGGTGGAGCACGGGAGACTCATTCGGCCAGGTGCGCTCCACCACCGCGCGCTCCTCCAAGCACCTGGGCCCCTGCCCTCCTCCCTCCCTGGCAAAGACTCTCCCTGCAGCTCTCTGAGCACCTGGAGACTTCTCAGCCCCCCGGGGACACCAGGCCGGCCCTCTGCAGAGGATCCTTTTCCTGGATTGAGTGGGGAACAGCATCAGACCGGGGAGACTGCACTGACACATTGATTGTGTCGCTCTGCAGTGACAGGGCTGCTCGTGGCGGAGCTCTGGGGCAGTCCTTTTGGGCTTCTTTCTGTCCTCACCTGAGCACAGGCCCACTGATTTTAGAGAAAGGGGGAGGAGGAAAGGGGGTGGGCAGAAAGAGAGAGAGACGTTGATGTGAGAGAAATGTCCATCGGCTGCCTCACATGTGCTCCGACTGGGGACTGAACCTGCAGCCAGGAACTGACCAGAGATTGAACTGCGATCTGTCGGCCTACAAGGACAACCAACCAAGCCACATCAGCCAGGACCCTTTTTGGGTTTCTAAGGGGAAAATGTACCGTTGGTAGGAGAGACAGGCTGGGGTGGAACAAGTTTAATTCTCATTTTCAAATTAGCCAATCTTTAGAAAACAACTGAATTTCAAAGATTCTTGCCTAAGCCCCCAAAGGATTTCTCTCTGTCTCCACCCGCTTGGCCCTGGCTCACCCCTTGCTCCATTCTGAACGTCCAGCAGCAGTCGTGGCCAGCCTAAAAATCCTCAGCCCCCCAACTTTGGTTTCCGTTCCTCCACGCTCCCTCGGTGTTTGTGGTCCTCAGCCAACAACATAGTGGGATTAAAGACTGATTGGCCCCCACCGCCCCTGCCTTGATTGTCCTTACTTCTGGTTACCTCTGTGGGGTGCCACTGTTAAGTTTCATTTAAAAAATAGTTTTTTTCTTTAATTTTTAAAGAGGGGAAAGGAGAAGGAGAGAAACATCAATGTGTGGTTGCCTCTGTGTGCCCCCTGCTGGGGACCTGGCCCACAACACAGGCACATGCCCTGACTGGGAATTGAACCCACAACCCCTTTCTTTGCAGGCTGGCACTCAGTCCGCTGAGCCCCACCAGCCAGAGCAAGTTTCATAATTTCTTAGAGCCCTTGATGGAGTCTTCAGAGAGATGCCCAACTGACATTTATTTTCTCAGTCTGCTGAATTCCCAGGTTCAGGTTGACAGGAATAGAATTTGGGCTCAAGCACTAGCCGGAGTAGCAGGATGGGCCAAACGAGTAACCTGTCGAATTTTCAGTTTTACGCACACTGACAGTGGCTTGGCAGGTGCTGGCATCCAGGGGGCAAGCCTGCTAAAACCTGGCTGACCTTCCCTTTCGGAGGAGACTGGGAGCGGTACTCAGCTCTGCTAAATCATTAAGTACTGCCTTGCTGCTGGTGTGCGAGAAGCCCTGGGAACAGTGTGTCCAAGGCAGGACCCCAGGGTCTCAGGCGGCTGAAGGCACGCAAATGTGAGCTCTGATAAGCCTGCGAGTGTGGCGGCCGGGAGGAAGGTGGTTCTGTTCTTTGTCTGGCAAGTCCTGGCTTTGGGGTTCCTGCGTGACCAGGAAGAGGCCCAGCCCTGGCTAAGCACCCGGAGTGTCTGTGTAACTGGCTGCAGAGCATAGTGACGTGCCACGCATGATGCTGCTTTCACTTTCTTCTCCGAACACGCCACAAATTCCTGACGGAGACTGCCCGGGTCACTAGCAAAAGCCGCCCAGAAACTAGAACGAATCGGAAGGAAGCCGTTAGATTTTGTGGCCGTTAGAGATGGCTGTGCAGTGCGTTTAAGGGAGAGTAGTTTTAATATTTAATGTTTCGGTGTATAAATTTTATGTGGAAAGATGAACTAAGCCACAGGGTCTGTAAATTTAATTACAGAAAAGGATAAAGTTTGCCTGTTCCGTGAAGTCTCCAGTAACTCGGAGATCTCTAACCAAGGAGCCTGTGAGGGACTCAGATGAGACCAAGAATAAACCCTCCATGAACTGGGGCTGAGGGGGCCATTAGCACTCTGTGCAGTCGAAGGAGCGGGGTCTCCCACTGGGGAGCACTCCTGTCAAGCTGAGGCGGGGAAGTAATGGGCCTTGCCCCCTGGTGACCTGCCCCGTCCTGTGCCAGGGATTTCCAAGGTGGGGGGCAAGGGGGGGCGGTACTCTGATTCCAGGGGATGCCTTCTTGGAATGGCTTTCTCTCCTCTCCCCGCTCCTTGGTAGGGAGACTGCTAGCCCAGGAGAACAGGTTGGAGCGCTGCAACCCGGTGATTGGACACCTGGCAGCTCTTCCAGGGAGAGGCGGGGGGCATCAGCACTGTCGCCCCCCTGCCCCATGGGCCTGTCTCTGGACCGGCGCTGACGTGCTGTGTGTGTTGAGGGCAGGCTCGGTGGTCTGCCCTCACTCCCCTGCCCCCGCCAGCTCTGTGCATTCAGGGCCCGTGGCGTGTCCAGGTGTGTCACAGGCATGTGCCTGGAGCGGTTCCCTTGCAGGTTTCTCCTGTGAAAGAGCGGGGCCACCTGGCAGGCCACCGCCTCATCCTCACGGTCCCCTCCTACATTTCAGAAGCACCGTCTCTCAGAGGGACAAGTTGCTCAGAATTTTGTCTTAGTAGAATTGTCACTGAAAGATTGTAAAGTATAAACCTCTGAGCCACAGTTTGCCATTGTGTTGCCTGGGTCTTAACAGTTCATTTACGTCATTTCCCCGAGCAGTAAAAAAAAAAAAAAATTGTTAGTGAATCTTGTTTACCCTATTGAAGGTTATAGAAGGGATCAATTTGTATATTTGTTTTCATTTCCTTCTTCTAAAATGTTTCTGTTATCTGATATTATGACACAGAGCAGCAGAGCCTCCTGTAACCCGCAGCCGAGGCCTTGCCCTGCCCTGCGTGTCCGGCCTCCTCTCCCCTTCTCTCCTCTCCGAGGAGAGGATGCTACAGGTTCAGCTGACTGGTCCGTTCCTCCCCTCCCTGCCTGGCGTCGCCACTTCCAAACCGTGTTCCTCCTCCCCACATCTTTGTGATGCAGGCACCTCCTTGTGATTTTCATGCTCTTTCGACCTTCAGGATCGTTGGCTGCCCTTCAGGAACCGGTAGAGTCAGTTGTGTGCCTGGAGCCCACATGCTCCGTGCAGATTTTAATGTGGAATTGATGGCCTGGCCACATCACTGAAACAAACAGCGGGGAGGGAAGACAGCTGCCAGCACCCACACTGCCGCCCTGCCGCTTCCTCTGCCTCCTCCGGTCTCTGCTGTGTATGGGCGGGAGCGGCAGCGGGCTCCAGTGTGGGTGTGCGGCTCAGAGAGGCTCGAAGGCGCGTGTGTGTGGACTCCGCCTCCTGGCCTCCCTGCGCTGGGGACCCCTCGGGGGCCCCCCACGTGGGCTCACTGCTGGCCCAGGCGGGTCTTTTCAGTTTCTCTTCCAACCAGCAATACTTTCTAAGTTCTGCTCGTCACTGATGTAACCAACAGCTATTACTGAGTACCTGTTACGTGCCCACATCTTGTTCTCAACCTGGCAGTCACAGGACAACAGTGGGTAGCTCAGGGCTTCGCTCCCGTGGGGCTGAGGTCCTACTAGGTGCAGGCAGACACCAAACAGGCTGATGAAACGGTGTGATTGGTTAGCGGTGAGGGCGGAGCAGAGAAGACAGGTGACGTGACTGGTGCTGGGTGAGGACTTGAGGTTGGGGGGCCACGGGGGACTTCATGGGCGTTGACACTGGGTGCAGGTCGGTCAGAGAGCAGCTGTGAGGGTGAGGCAGGAGGGGGCTTTCAGTCGGGGCGGCCGAGGCACAGGCCGCGGGGCATTGTATTGCCTCGGCAAGTAGATCACAGCACGCGCAGCACCTGGTCCAGCGCTTGGTCTGCCGTGGAGTGCGTTTGCCGGCGGTTCTGCTGTGCCTTAACCCAGGGCTCGGCAGGGCTGGTTTGCTGGTGCTGTTCGGGTGTGTGTTTGCTCCGGGGCTGAAGGCTGTCCCTGTCCCCTCAGCTCTACGTCTCCTCCGAGAGCCGCTTCAACACTCTGGCCGAGCTGGTCCACCACCACTCCACCGTGGCCGACGGGCTCATCACCACGCTGCACTACCCAGCCCCCAAGCGCAACAAGCCCACTGTCTACGGCGTGTCCCCCAACTACGACAAGTGGGAGATGGAGCGCACCGACATCACCATGAAGCACAAACTGGGGGGCGGCCAGTACGGCGAGGTGTACGAGGGCGTGTGGAAGAAGTACAGCCTGACTGTGGCCGTGAAGACCCTGAAGGTAGGCCCGGGCGGCGGCGTCCACACAGGGCTGCCTGTGCTCTCGGGGCCTCGGGCAGGAGCAGGGAGGGGGGTGGCTCTCGGCCTCCTGCCGTTGTGGTGGTTCTGTGCCCACACCGGGTGGTTCTCCTGATCCCGCGGTGTGGTGGGGCTGGGCCGTGCTGTGGTTTCTGGTGTGTGGGGGATTAGTCATTTGGAGAAGTGTTTTCGATCTACGGCAAGAGTCTTTTAAAGCCGTGGGTTTCCATTCTGTTTGTGTGGCGTTTGAATCACTTCCTGTTGAGAGTTAAAGGAAGGAGGGAAATAAAAACCGTAAGTTTCGAAGGGAGATTTAGCCAAAATGTGTTTGACATTTCTGAGGATCTTTGTTGGCAGATCTGAAAGGCAAGTGGCGTTTGGTTCCCAGCAGGTTCCCGCATCCAGCTTCTGTGTGTCCAGTTTCTGGGATCAGGGGGACACTGGTTAAAGCTTCTGCCTAATAACACGGATCACCTACACCTGCCCCCCGCTTTTTTTCTTGTTATCTGTGACTTTCATTCACCCCTTCAACATAGTGTGGGGAGTTTCCAGATGGTGGGTCTTTCTTTTGAAGTTCTCTGAAATCTTTAGGATGCCAGAGAAGCAAGTTTTAATTTGCAGTCTTTTTCATAATGGTGATGTGTGCTTTGCTTGTGGCGAGAGTGCCCCCTAGTGTTGATGTGCGGTATTTTCACTTGCTTCAAGGGATCTCCAACTAGGCTGCCATGCGCACAGAGGTTGAGAGTGAGCCCCTTTTCTGTAGCTAAAGAAAAAGAACCCAGACACCCACTGGTAGGAAGCAAGAAGGGGCCCAGCTGTGCGCGCTGCTCAGAAGTCAGGTGCATGCTGTGAGACCCGTGCAGCCCAAACGCTTGCCTGTTAGGGACTCTCAGTTCCCTGATCCCTTCTTTCGGGGGCACAGTGAAATGGAAGTTAGGATTTCTGGCTAACATAGAGAAAAGGTTGCATTCTTTAGTTTTTGGGACCCAAGGAGGCTTCCTGGCGCTATACCTAATGTGTCCTGGTGGTCTGTCCTTGGGGAAAGGCTGACACTGTTGGCGGGAGTAGTGGCATAATTTGGGGTAACCTTGAGGCCTCCTGGATCTTTTCCAAGTAGGGCTTTAAAAATATATATTTAATGAGCATTTATTGAGTTCCTCACTTCTGTTTGCGAGACCCCAGCTTAACACTGGGGTTGTGAAAGTGAGTCAGAGTTCATTCCTTCAAGCTAGTCTGGGTGGTTAGGACAGTCTGGTTACGGTAGACAGTCTAGTTAGGAGACACAGGCCAGTGTAACAGGAATTGTGGTGCAGTGTGACAGGGGCCACAGTCGGCACAAACGTGGCACTGGTCACTTCGCAGGAATGAATGGCGGGGCTGGTGGGCTCTGCCTGGCAGGGAGAGAGCATGACGGGAATTGGGGCTAGGGCCACAGTGCGGGAGCAGAGCTGGCCAAGGGCACAGAGGCCAGAGGAGACACCAGTCAGGGCGCCGGGTGTCATCCTGGAGGAGGTGGCGTGCACAGCAGGGCGTGAGGCCCAGGTACGTGACGATTGGGTTCTCGTTTCAAGAGGTGGCTATGCTGGCCAGCCCTGGGAAGAACTGAACAGCCACTGCCCACCTCTCCCAGATCAGGCGAGTCCAGCCAGGGAGGGGCGTGCACTTGCGCCGCGGTGCCCGGGTTCGGGGCACAGTGGACAACCCCACCCAGAGACACCGGGTGTAGACTAGCTGGAAACCCTGCTAAAGGCCTAGGCACCACCCGCACTTTTGCTAGGATTTGCGAACACGAAGCAAGGAAGAGAGAAAAGAAAAAAAAAACACTCGATTTTAATGCAGGCAAGGCCCGTTTGAAACTTTAAGAAGAGACAGAGCTCGTACATTGTGGCCTGTGGGGGGAAACCCCACTGAGGAGCCGCTGCTGTGGTGTTCTTGGGACCCCCGAAGGAGGGAGTTCAGAGTGGGGACCCCGTGGAGCTCAGCGCCACTGCTGTAGGTTTTCTTACCCCAGGGAATCGGAATGATCCAGAAGTCGTGGTTTTAGAGCACACTCTACCTGTGATGTATTATTAAACTTCTTACTACATGCTTTTACTGACTTTCCCAAGAGCCTTATTAGTTTACGGTCCCAAGTCACCACACCTGGTGGCATGGAGTTCTGTGAGTCGCCACCCCAGGTGGCAGCCAGTTAGGGGAAGGGGCGTGCAGGGTCTTCCACAGGATGCTAATCCACAGCATGCTCTGAGCAACTGGTAAAGCCCTCCATCCCGCACCCTGCTCAGGAGACATCTCTGTGTCCCACCTGCCAGGCAGGGTTGGTATCCGTGTCGTGAGCATTGCTCTCGGCTCCAGAAGTGGAGGTTGAGTGGGCTGGGAGTGACAGTAATGGCTGGCACCTGCCGTGCTCTGGCAGAGCGCTGAGTGCCTTGTGCAGAGCGTGCCGTTGACACTTGACAACAGTTTCAGAGAAGGGACGTACCATTACCACCACTGTTTCAGGGGCGGGCAGGGGGCTGAAGTGCAGAAGACCGAGTCACAGGCCAGGTTCACAGCCAGGAGCGGCAGAGCCGGGTGCACACCCAGGCCCCCGCTGCACGTCCCAGTCAGTATTATTTTGCCACTCGGGTTCTTATTCCTCAGATACCACGGAAAGTGCACCTGAACCACAGTTACACATCTTAAAAACCACCTTTTCCCCCACTCATTCCAAGGCTCCTTGGAAAACCCCTGAAGCTCTAGCCCAGACAAGCATTTGCTCAGCACCCCTTTGCGCCAGGTCTCCCTGGGCTCCAGAGTCCATCTCCTCCTCCTGCCTGTCCTGCCTGGTTTGGTAGCTGGCTCCTCAAAGGGCAGGCCCGCTCTTCCTTAACCACCAGGGGGAGCAAGACCCTGCCTTTAACCAGGACTTCTCCTTGGACAGCCTAGGTCCCATACCCTCAGGTCATAAGAGAAAAAAAATATATATATATATGAAGAAGGGAGGCACTAGGCTGACCCTTATGGATAGGAAGCTGGAATTACAGCCAAGGGAGGCCCCCCTCCCCCTGCTGATGGGGAACCAACTGTTAGTCCGAATTTTATTTCTATTGATTATGCCATTACATTTGTTCTATTCCCCCCTCCATTCCCCTCCACCCTGCACACCCCTCCTCCACCATTTTCCCCCCTTTAGTTCATGAACACGTCTCAAGTTCTTTAGATTCTGTATTTCCCCTACTATTCTTACCCTCCCCCCTATCCATTTTCTATCTACTGTCTATGCTACTTATTTTCTGTACCTTCTCCCCCCTTCTCCTTCTCCCACTCCCCTGTTGCTAATCCTTCACATGATCTTCATTTCTATGGTTCACTCCTGATCTAGCTGTCCTCTTAATTTGCTTTTGTTTTAGGTGTGGTTGTTAATAACTGTGAGTTTGCTGTCCTTTCACTGTTCATCTTTTTTATCTTCTTTTTTTAAGGTAAGTCCCTTTAACATTTCATATAATAAGGGCTTGGTGATGATGAACTCCTTGAATTTGGTCTTATCTGAGAAGCGCTTTATCTGTCCTTCCATTCTAAATGAAAACTTTGCTGGATAGAGCAATCTGGGTTGTAGGTCTTTGGATTTCATGACCTGAATTACCTCTTTCCAGCCCCTTCTTGCCTGTAAGGTCTCTTTTGAGAAATCCGCTGATAGTCTGATGGGAAGTCCTTTGTAGGTGACTGTCCCCTTATCTCTTGCTGCTTCTAGGATTCTCTCCTTCATTTTAATCTTGGCTAATATAATGATGATGTGCCTTGGTGTGTTCCTTCTTGGGTCCAACTTCTTTGGGACTCTCTGAGCTTCCTGGATTTCTTGGAAGTCTGTTTCCTTTGCCAGAACGGGGAAGTTCTCTTTTATTATTTGTTCAAATAAGTTTTCTACTGGTGGCTGTTCCTCTTCCCCTTCTGGTACCCCTATAATTCGGATGTTGGAATGTTTAAGGATGTCCTGGAGGTTCCTAAGCCTCTCCTCATTTTTTTGAATTCTTGTTTCTTCATTCTTTGCTGTTTGGTCATTTTTTTCCTTCTTTCTTGTCTACTCCCTTGATCTGAGTCCCAGTTTCCTTTCCATTACTATTGGTTTCCTGTGCATTACCATTCCTGTCAATTAGTTTAGCCTTCATATGTTCCTCTAATTTGTGACTAAAATCAACCAGTTCTGTGAGCATCCTGATGACCAGTGTTTTGAACTGTGCATCTGAAAGTTTGGCTATTTCTTCATCGCTTAGATTTATTGGCGCTGGGGCCCTGAGTTGTTCTTGAGCCATGTTTTTATCTGTTCGCACCTGTTAAGTATGAGGAGCGGAGTCTTAGTTGTTTACCAGGGCGGGGCCACCCAGGTCGCTGGTTTGTGATGCTGTATGTGGGGGCGGGGTCAGAGAGGGAGCAATGGCCGTCCTCTCCCCTGGCCCCCACCTGTTTATCTGAGCGGAAATGTGCGAGCCCGCCGCCCTGCACCTAGGGGTCTCAGTGCTCACCTCTTCACTGGTTTATCTGCATGCAGATGCTCCACCCACCGCAGGCAGCCAGCCTCGCCTCTTCCCTGTGCACCCGTAGCTAGCCCTCACCTGGGATTCGCGCCTTCGGCTGCCTGCGCACCACCCCAGTCGAGGATCTTTTTGGCCAACCTGCTCCGCTGCTGGCTTCGCCCCTTACCAGTTTAGCTGAGTAATTCGTTGTTTTCGGACTCCGTATTGTTGATTTTCTGTGTGGTTTTGTTGCGTTTATTGTTGTTAAAGCTTTGTTGTTTTTAGATTTGGTTGTGCACAGACGCGAGGTATTTCCACCTATGCCTCCACCTTGGCGGAAGTCTGTTAGTCCAAATTTTGGCAATATTCAGTAGTCTGCAGGCTTGACTTCACCCTTATCAAAGGCAGGATGTGCCTCAGAGAGCCAGCAGTCGGGTACAAAGAGCTCCAAGTTTCACATGAGTTGTGTTCCAAAAGTTAGTTCGTAAGTCAGCCCTTTTCTGTGAAACAGTTGCATAAGTTATGTAACTTGCAGAAGCTTACTGTTAGTCTAGTTGTGGCGTTAAGATCGAATCATAACCTAACCAGCTAATTGGCCATATAAAATAGTGGAATGTGATGTTGCTGTGAAATGCTGACTTAAAATTGTACCCAGTCCTCTGCCTATTCTTCAGACAGGTAGGACCCGCTGCCTCCTGCCCCCAATCCTCGTGCCTTTCCGGAGGCAGCCTGTGTGTGCCTTGTCTAACCCTGTGGCAGCGCCGCGGGCCTGCTCTGTGCCGTCTGCCGTCCGCTCCGTGTGACTCGATGGGTGCTCCTCGCCGGTGCTCGGGACCTTGTCCTGGTGTGGCTGTGTTCCCGTAGGCACCAGCCCTTCTCGAGCATGGTGGCCCTTCGGTACCTGGCTGGCACAGCGGTGCCACGGGGGTGCTACGTGTGTGCACACGAGGTAGGAGAGTGTCCTAGTGGTTGGCCCCTGGTGCGGACTGCTGGGTCACGTGCCTTTACGGTTTTGTTCCTGCTCCCGAGTGCCCCCCACGGAGCTCACACCTGGTCCGGCTCTGCTGGCAGTGTCAAGGAGGGGCCTGCTCACCACGCCCTCCCCAGCCCAGGGTGCCCTTGGCTCGGGTTGCATCTTGTCTTTTTTCCCCAGGAGACTGACTTTATTGGAGCGTGCCAGGCGTGAGCAGAGAAGAGAGGCTCCATGACAGCCCTGACCCTGGGCAGTCCACGCAGTGGCTCACCTCACGGGGGGTGCTGGGCTCAGGGCCCACTGTTGCCTTCTGCACTCGGCCTGGCAGTGGCGTCTAGACCCCTGGCTGTGGAGCTCGATGCAGCAGCTGTATCTGAGGACTGGGTTTCTGGGGCCTTCTCTGTGGGGTGGTTTCCGTGGGCTGCTTGGACTCCAGTCCCACATCTGGTGTGTGAACCACCTTCTTTAGTCGCACTCAGAAACTCTGCCCTGCCTGCCCGTGTTTTTGAACGCGCAGACCTTCGGAAGGTCTGGCCCACCCGATGGGTGAAGGGGGGGTGCTTCCCTGTACTGTAACCTGGCTCACCTGCATTTGGGGAAGAACCAGAGACGTGTGGAAACTGGCCTCTCAGGCGGGAGCCCTGGCCACTGCGCCGCAGCAGCGGGATGCAGAGCCGTCCGTAAACACGGCGTTTCTTTTTCATGACCTGGGACACCTGCTCTCGGGGGCGAGGCCAGTGAGCCAGCAGCTGGAGCTGGCCCGAAGGTTCCTGTGAGGCGCTGAGTCTGGGAGCACGTAGGCCTGTGAGAACGACAGGGACTCAGCGTTGAAGGCGCAGCGGTCTTCCACATGGGCGGGCTGCCCCGTCTGCTTGTCGGGAGTGGAGAGCCGCTGTCTCCCTGGTGGCAGAGGCGAGGTCCGCGGGCGCAGCGCCAGCCGAGGTCTGGGCACTGCACTTGGCGCTCTGTGCATTAGGGTGGGTGCTGCCTTTCTTTCCGTTTGTAGGTGAGGAGAGAGCAGGTCAGAGGCAGCCTCTGTGCTGTGTCTTCTGGGAGCCACTTACGACCGTCACACAGTGGCAGGGCCTGGGCGGCACGAGCCACAAGGTCCACCCGCATCCAGGCCAGGCCAGGGGGTCCTTGTGCAGGGAGGTCAGGTGGCCCGTGTCCCTCCCTGAAACGCCCACAACGCACGGCTTTATCTCAGAGTGTTGTCTGAATCCTAGTTAGTCTCAGTTTGATTTTACTATTAAAGGGAGGAATCTGCTTCAAAACGATGGCAAGTTTTAAGTGAAAGCAAAGGAATACAATAGGGGAGAGCGTCAGGGGTGTTTCAAGGTCGGCACAGCCATGTGCCGTGTGCCGTCAGCAGTGTGCGTGGTAGGCTGAACCAGGTCTGCGTTCAGCAGGGGAGACAGGTTCCCACCAGTTGTCCCGAAAGGAAGAAAGGGGGTTTGTTCACACTGACTGTCACACATGTGCACGCGTCTGTATGAATGAATGGAGAGAGACAAAAAGCGAAGAGGGCACCTTGGAACGCTGCGTCATTCTGTGGGCCTCGGTCTCAGGGTCTGGAACTCGGTTCTTGTAGAGAGGGGACAGTAGCTGGAAGAGCAGGTGATGTCTCTGAAACGATGTCATTGTCCGTGGCTTATTACACGAGGCTTCAAAATAAAAAACACTCCACGTGTCTAAAAATTCATGGGAGAGCTACTTTTTTAACTTACTTTTGGCCAAGCGAGATTCTGCAAGCCGCTGGCCCTTCTGTGAACCTTTGACACCAATGTGTCATCCCAGAAAACCGCTCTCCATGCCGAAAACAGTGTGGTCAGCGAGCCCGTTCAGGAGCAGGGAGGACTCAGGAGAGCAGCCCGCCAGTGGGGTGGCGGCAGGACAGGTCCTTTCCCCCGGGGGGCTCGACACAGAGGCCACCGCCCACGGTAACCAGGAGCCAGAGCAGTTCCCCATTGTTACAGGGCCGCTAAGCAAAGCGAGGACGAGCTGGCACATAACTCAGCGGCCACGCTTCCGCTGGGCGACACGGCAGACCAAAGCGGGAACGTGCCGGGGAGGCCGCCCTGTCCTCTGGAGGTCCCCTCAGGTCAGGGGCCAGGATGGGGCAGCCAGGGAACACGGCAGCAGGGACGCTGCAGACCTCTGTCTCCGGAAGGGACAGGTACCGTGTGTAAAGCTCTGCTTTTGGGGCATCTAGCTGTCAAGGAGCCACACCTCACCCCCACGTCATCTCCCCCCTCAGACAGACACACTCCGGGGCAGCGTCTCGCGCCCTCGTTGGCCTTCATAGGCCGGCCTCTCAGCAGACACCATCCCCACACCGGCCTCCTGTTCCAGGACAGTGGGTCCAGTGAGTCCAGAAGAGGTTCTCCCGGCATAAGTCACAGCAGGGCTCTTTTGTGGCAGGGCCAGGTGTCGCAGTGCTCTGGACCGGAGCTGGAGCCGCGCCTGCAGCCTTCTCAGTCTCACGCACACACAGACCAGTCACCTACCCGGTGCCACACGCTGGTCTGTGTGCTGATCTCGCGAAGAGCAGGTGCAACTGTGATTCATTCACACCGAACAGCTGTGGTAGTGCTGGCCGCTGCCCTTTGTGCATCCAACAGTCTAAGGGAGGAGCGGTCAGCGCCCCTGGCTAACTGGTCAGGAACTGCACGCTTTAAAAACTCCTGCAGCGCACGGGCTGAAAAACCGCGGGCCCAGGCTCCAACCGCGTGAGGAAGTGCTCTCGCGCACTTCGCCGCTGGGCACCCCGCGGCAGCACAGCAACACCCTTCTGTGTCGGCAGGGTCCCTTCCCTGACACCGGGCGCACTTCAGGTTCCCCAGTGGCTCGTTTCTCCATGCGTCTTAGGACACCTTGACCACCAGCTGCTTGCTCCTTAGGGGAGATGGTACCATGTTTGTGGCATTCGCCTGTCCACGTCTCCCTTGCCCCTGCAGACCCCACGAGGAGATGGGGACAGGCACGGGGTACAGCAGCCACCGTGAGCAAGTCACCGACACACACAGGCCGGCGTGTCGACGCATGTTGCCCAGGGGTTCTGCTCCGACGGGCAGCCTCTCCGTCTGCCCCGGCAGCGCTCAGCAGCCAGGGGCCCTGCCCAGGTGGTTCGTTGACGCTGCAGCTTGTGACCATTCACTCTGTGCCTTCCCACTTAAACACGTCCCTTGCTGAAATATTTTTTTTAACTTAAAGATTTTATTTTTTTTATTTTTAGAGAGAGGGGACGGGAGGAAGAAAGAGAGGTAGAGAAATGTCAATGTGTGGTTGCCTCTCGTGTACCCCCCATTGGGGACCTGGCCCGCAACCCAGGCATGTGCCCTGACTGGGAACTGAACCAGTGACCCTTTGAACCAGCGGTTCACAGCCTGCGCTCAGTCCACTGAGCTATACCAGCCAGTCCTTGCTGAAATAACTTCACCACTTTTTTCTGCAGGAAGACACCATGGAGGTGGAAGAGTTCTTGAAGGAGGCCGCGGTGATGAAGGAGATCAAGCACCCTAATCTAGTACAGTTGCTTGGTGAGTGTGTGCGGCCCCGTTAAAGCTCAGGCGGGTGGCTGGCTGCATCGAGCTTCCTGACCCGGACAGCTGTTCCCTGTGCACACTCAGCCCCTGGCTCAGGAGGCCTGTGTGGGGTTGACTGTGCGTTGGGAAGGGGTGTGGAAGGGGGAAGGTGAGTACTTTAAATCGGTATCTAAACACGGTGAAGCACAATCTCAGATTGGCTTTTGAAACTTGAGCATCTTGAACGCTGCCTCCCCGGAGTGACTCTGCCAGCGGGCCTGACCACCAGACGTGCGTGGCCGCTGGCGGGCGACCTAGCAGTGACCCAGGCTGTGGGCGTGGGCCCGGCCTTTGCTGCTGCCCTCACTGACAGCTTCTCCTATTCAAGTCCACTGGCTTGGGAGGCAGAAAAGAGGGTGACCATGTCCTTCCCGCATCAACATAACCCCAAGTCCCGAGTGCTTGGACCCAGATTCCAAGTTGGGCCAGGACTTGGGGGCAGAGCCAGCTGACGTTCAGAAGCGTTTTCCTTCAGTGCCGGCCCTTCCTGACGTCTGCTCGGCTGGCAGCAGGCGCCGCCCTGAAGCCTCGGTGTCTCGTTGGCAGGGGTGTGCACCCGGGAGCCGCCATTCTACATAATCACCGAGTTCATGACCTACGGGAACCTGCTGGACTACCTGAGGGAGTGCAGCCGGCAGGAGGTGGGCGCGGTGGTGCTGCTGTACATGGCCACGCAGATCTCGTCGGCCATGGAGTACCTGGAGAAGAAGAACTTCATCCACAGGTAGGGGCCAGCAGGCGCCCTGCCCGCCGAGCCGTGGGGTGAGCCAGGGCCCAGTCCTTCTGCAGAAAGCCCCGGCCTCTGAGGACTTCCGGCTCAGCCCCTAACTTCCATGCTGGCCGTGCGTCAGGCCTTGGAATGAAGGAAGGTACTGGGTTCCTGACGTCGCCAGCTCTGGGTGCGCATCCAGGGCTGACCTCAGCTGGCCCTAGACTCCAGACCAGCAGAGCAGTGAATTGTCCTGGGGTGAGAAGTAGCTCACTTCGGAACCAGTTTGACTAAGTAGAGTGTTCAGTGACTCATAAAAGGTGTCCTTCCTGGCCGTCCCAACTCCCGAAGTGGGTCTCACTGCCCCTCCCGGCCTGGCGTGCGTCCTCTCGGCCTCTGCCCAAGAGCAGCGGGTGTTGTCTCACACAGACCCTCAGCAGTAGGCAGTGCGTGGGCTTTGCGTTTGCATCGAGTGCCCCCCCCCCCCAGGCCCCTTCTCTTCATTATCATTTCGTTCCCACCGAACCTGCTGTCGTCCGGCTCAGCAGTGTTCCCACAGTTGTCAGTCGTGTGCCTGTGGTTCTGAGTTAAGCGTTTTCGCCGCTTTAAAGCCTGGAGTGTTCTGACCTTCAAGCCACAATTATCGTGGTCTTCGCATTCTTCGGTGGCGGACACGGCTTCCTAGCAAAGTGACAGCTTGCGCAGGACAGGGCCTGACGGGCTTCACCGGACTCTTTCACAGCGTGTTCTCCACGCCACCGCCGTGACCTCTCCTACCCAATTAACCCGAGGACGCGGCCGGTGCGGGAGCGTTCAGTGAGGAGTGGGGGCAGTGCGTGGGAGACGCTGGCGGGTCCTTGTCAGGCACAGTTTCTGTGCCTGCGATGCCCAGAGTCACATGCTCCCGTCACTCAGGAGCATGAGCCCTCCGAGGCTCTGAGCCTGCAAATTGAGATTTCCTGACTTCCAGTTTGCCTCGCACAGCTGGGTCCGTTCCCTCTTCATTTGGACAGACTTAAAATCCTTCCCCCAAATCCCATCAGGCACAAGTTTTCTGTGTTTAATTTCCCTCGGCGGCCGGTGATCAAGCTGCCGGGCGCAGCCATTGCTTCAGCTGCTGCCTCTCCTCGCCCCTCCCTCCCTGGTTGCCTTGCGATTTCACGGTTAACGTCCCTGAACCAAAGATGAGACCCCTCCTGCCTCTCCCGCCTCCCTCCCTCCCTAGCAGAATCAGGAAGTGGGAGGAAGCTGTTTATACAGGAGAAGAGTCGTAGGAAGTATCTGGGCAAGCCTCAGAAAGAAGAAGGAAACACAGTTCGGGCAAAGAGTGCCCTGGGCTTCATTTGGATTTGTCCTCCCACGTCTGGATAGGACATGCGGCGGCCGACTCCCTCGAGAGCGTCCCGCCATCAAGGGCCGGCCTGTGTGTGTTCCTGGTGCCTGCGTAGAGCAGTGCTAAGCACTTAGATGACGCTCACTGTTCTCTAGGCACTCGACATGTTAATTACCCTCAGAAGGGCTGTTTTTACATTTTCATTTTACGGACAAGGCGACTGAGTCCCAGCATAACCACCCCGCTCCGGGTCACAGGGCCCCCTCTGCTGCCTTTCACCGCGCTGGGTGCCCCGGCGGGTGCAGGGGGAAGGGCTCTGCTCACCGGGGGAGTTCGGGTAAGTTTCCAGGGCACCAGCCTCCCTTTCTCCAGCGTTGGTGGTGGATTCGTGAAGCCGGAGAGCCAGCCGGGAACTCACGGAGGAACGTTTCCCTTTCCCAGAGATCTTGCTGCCCGAAACTGCCTGGTAGGGGAGAACCACTTGGTGAAGGTGGCTGATTTCGGCCTGAGCAGGCTAATGACAGGGGACACCTACACAGCCCACGCCGGGGCCAAATTCCCGATCAAGTGGACCGCGCCCGAAAGCCTGGCCTACAACAAGTTCTCCATCAAGTCCGACGTCTGGGGTAAGAGCCGCTCGGTTCCCTCCTCACCACCCCCCTTCCCCGGAGCCGCTGCTTTGGTTGTTGGTTTGTTCTCCCCTCGTATTTCCACTGCCTCTTTCTGTGTTGGGAATGCAGCGTCATTGGGTTCGGGCTTTCGGTAGGATACTACCCACGCTGCCCCTGCAGCCTCACGGGACAGCATTTTGATTTTTACTTCTTTAAAGAACTTTTCCTGTGGCCACGTGTAGCCTGCCCTGAGGAGGCCCGAGTGCCCGGTGAACACTCACCTCCAGCCTTACCGGCCACCACCCCTGGGCGTGCCCACCGCCTCTGTCCTGCCTATTCCCCAACCCGGATTTGGGGCAAATCCCAGGCACCATATTTTGTCCCTAAGTATTTCAGAATGAGTGTTTCTTAAAGATGGCTTTTTATTTTCATAATCAAATCACCTCGACTCCAAAAATTGACAGTCATTTCTGAATACTATCAAATATCTAGTAAGTGTTCAAATTTCCCTTTGAATCATAAAAGTCCTACTTCCCTTAGAATTGAGACCGAAATGTGGTTTACACAGGTGATCAGTCGATAACGTTCCTCCAGACCCTCGGTCCCCTCTCCATCTGTTTCTCTTGGTTTATTTGTTGAAGAAATACTGCCATTTACCCTTTAGATGTTCCCACGTTCTGGATTTTGCTCATTTATCCACATGGTATGACTTGATATGTTCTTCTCTCTTCACTGTTCCTACTAAGTGTGCAGTTGGATCTAAACAGCTGGTCATGTTTGGGTTTGACTTGTTTTTCTTTTAGTTACAAGTTCTTCATAGGCAATGGTGTGTTTTTCATCAGTAGGTAGGTACATAGTTGTTCATTTTTTTTTCCTTTGTGATCTTAGCAGTTACTGGTACCCAGCACCTAGAATCACTAACGTAGTAGAGGTCACCAAGTGGTCGTTTCCTCATTCTCTTATTCCCTATTCATTTATTAGCGCAGCCCTTTCCATAAGAGGGAACAGCCCTTCGTCCTGTGTGGTCACCGGGGTGCAGCTCACCGGAGAGGCAGGCCAGGTGTTGCGTCCTTGCCGCTGTTCTGCTTTCACAGCCGCGAGCTGGTTCCCCGGTCACCCCCCAGGGGTGACTCCTGAGGTTTTTGTTGCAGTTTTTGGTAATATAATGAGTGTGTACACACACACACACACACACACTCTCTCTCTCTCTCTCTCTCTCTGTTTAAATGTACTTGATGTGTTTTAAGCCATAGTTATTTTCCTTACTGATACCGCATTGTCTCACCTTTGACCGGTGGGAACTTCACTTCGCTCCTGGTCCTTTTGATGAGACCCTTGTGGCTTTCGACCCTGTGTCTGCTGTCTGGAATGACAAGATGTTCCGGCTTCATCCGCTGCCCTAGACTTGAGCCACCCCTGGCTCCAGGGCATCAGTTCTGCTTTCTTTCATGGGATGAGGAATTTCAAGGCTCTACTCTGGGCCTGCAAAACTTTCAAAGATTTCATAAGATTTTTGTTCATCTTTAGAGTTGGAAGGGGCCTTGGAGACAATCTCATGCCCCAGAAAAGGGAGGGGGCCTATCTTCAGCCCAGAGCTGGCTGGTCCCAGAGCTGGGAGGAGCAGTGGGCTGCTGACTTATCCCAGCAAGATCCGGTTGTGTCGCCTGCGAGACCCTGGAGGGGCTTGTGAGCCCAGTGCTCTTCCCTCCATCGGCGCATTCTAGTCCGTGGGGACGAGCGAAGTGGAAGTTCCGCTCTGGCCTGGCTGGTGGTAGTGAAGTGCCTGGCAGCCTGGCAGCACTTGGCCTGCTTCCGAGGGTGTGATTTCTGACGTCTGCTACACAGGCAACCCATTTCAAATGCGATGCTTAAATCTTACGTGTTTCAAAAAACCCTCCTCATCTTCTCTTCTCTTAGCGTTCGGAGTACTGCTCTGGGAGATCGCCACCTACGGCATGTCGCCTTACCCGGGAATTGACCTGTCCCAGGTGTACGAGCTGCTGGAGAAAGACTATCGCATGGAGCGCCCGGAAGGCTGCCCGGAGAAGGTCTACGAACTCATGCGAGCATGTGAGCCCTCCCCCCAAGTTCTAGAACCCTGTGTGGGCAGCAGCCCACTGCGGGACTGTGCGCGTGTGGAGCAAAGTGAGAGGAGAGTGTCCATCTCCTGTCTCCACTCCCCGTCTGCAAAGCGGTGAGCGGGACGGGTCGGCGCAGACTTGGCGGACTCTGTTCAGTGTCTCTCCACTTGTCTTTATACACAGCGTTTGTGTGTGAGGGTGTTTGGTTTGAATACAAAACTGGGATTGATGCACACCAAACTTCGATTTCTTACTAGTAAATACAAATTCCTGGACCTGCCTTCAGACATTCTGCTGCTATAGTAGGTAGATACTCCAGGGCATGTTCATCTGGTTGGTTTTACAAGGGAGGACCCAAAAAACCCCACAGTTATCTTCTGGAAGGTGGAGCCCTTGTAGTGCAGACCACCCCCACTAGGTGGGTGTTCTGGGAACCCATCTGTATCAGTGCACCAGCTGGAGCTGTTGTGAGAGGCTGCGTTTGGCTTCAGTGAATGTTTTTTGAAGACTCTTACAATTTGTCCATTTTGTGATGGGAGAATTATGAGCACACCTGCCCACCCCATGCTGACTGTCCAGCAGTTTCTGACCAAAAGCAGCATGACCCCCCCGTGCCCCACCCTCCCTGTTCACCCAGTCTCACCCCAAGTGACTTTCATTTGTTTCCCCGAATTAAAAAAAGTCCTCAAAGGGCAACATTTTGCCAATGCAGAGGAGGTAAAACAAACAAAAAAAAACACCAAACAGCAAAATCACTAAAAGGCACCAAAATCAACGAGTTCAGAAAACTGTTTGCGGCAGTGAAAAAAACCGTCTCAAAAGGTGTATTGCGTCAAATGGAGAGGACTTTGAAGGTGACCAAAACTTAAACATGTAAGAATAAATGCTCGGTATTTTAGAAATGAATTCCGGGGTTTTTTGGGTCCTCCCTTGTGTCATATTTATAAACTCTTCCTGCGTCTTTTTCTGCACTTGGCAGTGTGGGCACGCTCACCCCTTCCACGTCCACGAAGCAGAGCTTCCCTCCCTCCCCTCCCCCGCCCGCACTGATGTTTGTCTCCCTGTTCGCCATCCCTTTCGACGGGGCATCCGTTCACCCAGGCCAACGTTCGGTGTTTTACACGTCTGTTCGGGTTCTGCCGTTACACGCATAGCCCCACGGCGAGCTGGCGTTCCTGACGGCGGAGCTGTTGGCTGCAGGGCCACCCGCCTTTTACGTTTTTGATGGTTTTTACCAAATTGTTCTCCATAAAAGGTGGTACCCATGTACTCCCCCCAGAAGTGCCTGTGGGTGATTCAGCATCCTCACCAACACTGGGCTAGATCAGTCCTTAATTCTTATTTTAATCTTGTTTTGATTAGCATTTCTTTACCAATGAGGATTTTGGGCTTTGATAACTAGGAAGTAAGGGTGAGAGAGAAGGCAAGCTGTTTGGCCTAGTAATTTTCTGCATTTGCTGGAATGGGGCTGGGAGAAATGTATCAGAGACGCAGTTCTGGCTGCCACCATCTCTCCGGGGGTTTTGTAATCCACGTTCCTGTCAATATCTAGTCTTTTCAGATTCTTAGGGTCTGTAGTAGGACACGGTGGCACTTGTCACTTTAACATGTCACACCAGAAGCTGGGTAGCAGGGATGGAGTGCTGCTCTCGTCTGTAGACTTCTCCTTAAGGAGAGCTAGCCACACACTTGTCAGCGAGGCCTCCTGGGTGATCCGATCGGGTCTCGTCTGTCCAGGTTGGCAGTGGAGCCCCTCCGACCGGCCCTCCTTCGCCGAGATCCACCAGGCCTTCGAAACCATGTTCCAGGAGTCCAGCATATCAGACGGTAAAGTGCCCGCCGTGGGGTCCCGCCGTGGGGTGAAAGGTTGGGGTAGGAGGGACAGCGTGGGGGCTCCAGCTCTGGTCCTTGAGTTCGCTTCCGGGGAGAAGCGCGCAGGCCCACAAGTAATCGGAGACCGGGGAGCTGGGCGGGAGGGGTTGACTGTGGAGCCGTCTTTGGCAGCCGTGCAGAATTCTGAAAACTACCAAGTGTCGTTTCTTTATCATTATTTACCTCTTTTCTACAAATACGTGCAGATGACCATGGTTGCTTTAAAAAGAAAAAGAAAACCGACACACCAAATGACACCGCCCCTGATGGCTGCTGGTTTTCATGGATTTGTTTTGTTTTGTTTTTGTTTTGTTTTGTTTTGTTTGGGTGGTTCTTAGAAGTGGAAAAGGAGCTGGGGAAAAAAGGCATGCGGGCAGTTGCCAGTACTTTGCTGCAGGCGCCAGAGCTGCCCACCAAGACACGGACCTGCAGGAGGGCTCCCGAGCACAAGGACGGCGCCGACGCGCCCGAGACGCCCCACGCCAAGGGCCCGGGAGAGCCTGGTAGGTCCCGCCCGGCCCCCTCCAGAGGCCCCGGCTGGTGGTGCGGCGCGGGCAGCAGCAAGTAGAGCCCGCACAGAAGGGCGGACAGACCCCACGGTAGCAGTGCACTGTTGAGAAGAAGCTTCTCCTCTGCCCCACCCCCACCCCCGCCCCAGAAATCATTAGGAGCCATCAGCTTTGACAGTTCAGAGGTGCTTATGAAACCTGAGAGAGGAGCCCAGCGCTTTCTGTGTCGTCCAGAGCAGTGTCCTGTCTGGTCTCTGAGAGGCGCCAGGGAGGTGGACGGGAGTGGCTCAGGAGAGGTCTCGACAGTGTCGGTGGTCGGATCTGGCGCCTCCTGTGTGCCAAGCGCTGTTCAGCACCAGGCTGCTCTGACGTGGAGGTTGTCCCCCTGCCTCCCAAACCCCCCCAGAAGTCTGGGGATTGTACTGCAGACCAGCGGAACTAGTGGGGGAGGCGGACCACCGTCTGGTGTGCAGGAGGGGCTCTGACGGACCACAGACTAAGAGGGGAGGAACAGAGCAAAGCCAGAATTGTGGGCTTTATTTATTTATTCAGTTTTAGATTTTATTTCTTTTTGGAGAGGGAAAGAAACATCAGTGTGTGGTTGCCTCTTGTGCACCCGCTACTGGGGACCTGGCCTGCAACCCAGGCATGTGCCCTGACTGGGAGTCGAACCAGGAGCCCTTTGGTTCACAGGCCGGTGCTCAATCCACTGAGCTACCAGTCAGGGGAGAATGATGGGATGTTTTGAAATAGAATCTATAGAACCATGGTTCCCAATTTTTTTAAATTATAAACCTGTACCTAAAGAAGTTGGATGCGCAGCCTGTGAGGGTAAAGCATGTACACGTACTGCTGCAGGACTACGTTAAGTGCATCGTAAAACATACACTTACAAGCTTATGTAAGACACGCACCCAGATTGCAGTGCTTCCTCTCAACGCTCCGATCGCCTTGCTCAGCGCACTGCAGAGGCCATGGTTCGAGAGCCTCCCAGAGCCTCCGGCCCTTCGTCCTGTGTGTCCGTGGTGGTGTCCGGTAGCCGAGCAGTGCGGGGGAGCTGCTCTGGGGACGAAGGGCTCAGGGAAGGGCCGGCGGCGAGCTGTCACGCCCGTTTCTGCCCGTCACCGGTTACCGGGTGCCCTGACGTGGACTCGCGCGGCGAGCCAGGAGTGTGGGGTGGCGGTGCAACGCCGGGGCGCAGCCGTGCGGGACTCGTTTGAAGTTTGCCATCTTCTCCTCCTTCCGCCGGCTGCCAGCTGGGGACACCCTTGGCTTTTCCTGAGCCACGCGTCCTGCAAGCTGCCTGCTGTTCTGGTAGATGCCCCCGAGCCTCTGCTCTGACTCACAAGGGCAGCAGCAACCCTCTCTCCTGGCAGCTTCCCCCCAGGAAGAGTCTGCCATTCACTGAAGGGGAGCTTGGCGGCACTGGGAAGGTTTCTTAGAAGCCGTTACTCACATTAAAGAGCGTCCATTTAAAGGTGTTAAAAGGTCACCCCTTCCTGTTCCCAAACGTACCAAATAGCCCACTGTCACTGTACTCTGTGGGTGTGTCCCTTCCCTCTAGGTCACACCTCGTAGGGACCTCATGCTCTGGCTGGTCAGGTTCACAGGTCTGACCCTTGGCTCAGCCTTGTCTTGGCCTTTACTTACCAGGTGGTGGGGGGACTCTGCTGACTTAAAGGAAAGCAGTGCAGAGAGCTTTTCGTCCTGTCTTCGGGGGAGAGACCTAAGCTTTTCCCAGTGAGAACACCAACCACCAGCAGTGGCAGCAGTTACTGAGAAATGGGACTCCGAGAGCCGTGACGAATGCCCCACGTTCAGTGCTGCGTGACGCTGTCCACCAATGCGGTGGATTGGCTTTATCACCCTCCTCCTTATAGATGAGAGAGCTGAGGGGGAACGAGAAGAAGTAACTGGCCCAGGCCTCGAGGCTGGGGAGTCCAGAGCCCGGGCCCCCGGGGGCGCGGGCAGCAGCTGGAGGAGGTTTCTCGCGCACTCGGGAGCAGCCTGGACAGTTAAACCCTTCCGATCTGTTTCAGACGCCCCGGACCACGAGCCTGCCGTGTCTCCACTGCTGCCTCGGAAGGACCGCGGCCCCCAGGACGGCGGCCTGAACGAAGACGAACGCCTTCTCCCCAGAGACAAGAAGACCAACCTGTTCAGCGCCTTGATCAAGAAGAAGAAGAAGACAGCTCCGGCCCCTCCCAAACGCAGCAGCTCCTTCCGGGAGATGGACGGCCCTCCGGAGCGCAGGGGGGCCGGGGAGGAAGAGGGCCGCGACGTGAGCAACGGAGTGCCTGCTCTCACGCCCTTGGACACCGCCGAGCCAGCCAAGTCCCCAAAGGCCAGCAGCGGGGCTGCCGTCCCCAACGGAGCCTTTCGGGAGTCAGGGGGTTCAGGCTTCCGGTCTCCCCACCTGTGGAAAAAGTCCAGCACGCTGACCAGCAGCCGGTTAGCAGCCGGCGAAGACGATGGTGGCGGCAGCTCCAGCAAGCGCTTCCTGCGGTCCTGCTCTGCCTCCTGCGTGCCCCACGGGGCCAGGGACACAGAGTGGAGGTCGGTCACGCTGCCTCGGGACCTGCAGTCCACCGGGAGGCAGTTCGACTCGTCCACGTTCGGAGGACACAAAAGCGAGAAGCCAGCTCTGCCCCGAAAGCGGGCGAGTGAGAGCAGGTCTGACCAGGTGGCCAGGGGCACGGTGACGCCCCCACCCAGGCTGGCAAAGAAGTCGGAGGAAGCAGCTGACGAGGTCTTCAAAGACGTGGCGGAGTCCAGCCCAGGCTCCAGCCCTCCCAGTCTGACTCCGAAACTCCTCCGAAGGCAGGCGGTGGCCTCTGCCGCTGGTCTGCCCCACAAGGAGGAGGCCGGGAAGTCCCCCGCCCTGGGGACACCTGCCGCAGCTGAGCCAGGGACCTCCGCCAGCCGAGCAGGGCCGAGCGCTTCCGGAGGAGCCAGCAGGGCCCCCGCCGAGGAGTCCAGAGTGAGGAGGCACAAGCCCCCCTCCGAGTCCCCGGGGAGAGACAAGGGGAAGCTGTCCAAGTTCAAGCCTGCCCCGCCGCCCCCGCCGCCGGCCTCTGTCGGAAAAGCCGGGAAGCCCTCTCAGAGCCCCTGCCAGGAAGCAGCCGGGGAGGCAGGCGCCAGCGGGAAGGCGAAGCCCACGGCTGTGGTTGTAGAAGTGGTAAACAGTGACGCTGCCAAACCCAGCCAGCTGGGCGAGGGCGTCAGAAAGCCTGTGCTCCCTGCCATGCCAAAGCCCCAGTCATCCACCAAGCCGGCGGGAACCCCCGCCAGCCCCGTCCCCACTCCCTCCACTTTGCCGTCAGCATCCTCCGCCCTGGCAGGGGACCAGCCATCCTCCACTGCCTTCATCCCGCTCATATCAACACGCGTGTCTCTTCGGAAAACCCGCCAGCCTCCCGAGCGCATCGCCAGTGGCACCATCACCAAGGGTGTGGTCCTGGACGGCACCGAGGCCCTGTGCCTGGCCATCTCCAAGAACTCCGAGCAGATGGCCAGCCACAGCGCCGTGCTGGAGGCCGGCAAAAACCTCTACACCTTCTGTGTCAGCTACGTGGACTCCATCCAGCAAATGAGGAACAAGTTTGCCTTCCGCGAGGCCATCAACAAACTGGAGAACAATCTCCGGGAGCTTCAGATCTGCCCGGCAACAGCGGGGAGTGGCCCGGCCGCCACTCAGGACTTCAGCAAACTCCTCAGCTCGGTGAAGGAGATCAGCGACATCGTGCAGAGGTAGCAGCAGCCCAGTGTCAGGCCCACGGGGCCGCCTGCCATGCATAAGGGCTCCCCTGTGCCCGCGATGGTGGCCAACACAGGACCGGCACTCGGGACCTTGGCCCAGAGCCGAGGGCCACCGTGGAGCACACACGACCCTGCCACCTGCGTCGGCACCAGCTGTGCTCCTGCACCTTCCGCCAGCCGGGAAGATGGGGGAGCGCTTTGCCCGCCGCGTTCCTTCCTGGAGGACTTCCCTGGGCTGTGCCACCTTCTCCGGTCTCCCCAAGAACAAGTGCTCTGAGTGGGCACTGTGTCACCAGGCCTCAGGAACTGTCACCTTCACTCAGCTGCCGAGGGAGCCTGTGCCCTTGTCCTCCCGTGCCTCCTGTGCTAGGGCACGCTTCCGGAATGGCATCCTGGGACGCGCTGCCCGCCGGTCGCCCTGCCCTCCCCCGCTGCCAGGGCCGGTGCCCGCACCTTCGCCTCCTGTGAGGACAACTCTCATTTTTGGGGGGTGCATAAAACAGGGTGCTGACACCAACCAGCCTTTGGGCCGGAGGAAGGGGGTGGACTGAAAGGGCTCTGGTGTGGGAGAAGGTTCTGTCACCCTCCCCTGCAGGTCTCGGGGCCCAGTTCCTTGCTCCCCTGTGGCACATGTTCCTAATCCCAGGTAGGTAGAAAGCCCAGGGTTAAGGGTGGCAGAGTCGCTGTCCAGCATGGGGAGCGGGGTGGGGGCTTGTCGGGTGAACAGCTGGTGCTGAGATGGCCTGGGGCTGGGGCTGGGCCTGGGCAGGTCCTCCCTGGGCCCGGGGTTGCCTGCCATTGGGATTTCCAGGTGTCCCGCAAAAGACACTTGGTCTTGGTTTCTGACCGATCTGCCCTGAACCGAGGGGGCTCCTTGCAGGGCTTTGGCCTTGCGACAAGCCAGTCCTCAGTTTTCTGGAGTTCTTGAAGCGCTTTAAGGCCCTGCCCTCAACACAGCCTCCCCTGGTGCCGAGGCCGGGCACCAGCGCACAAACAGGAGGGAAAGGGCTGGGGCACCGAAGCCCCAGCCAGTGCGGGGCGCGCCTTGTGGACAAATGTCTATAATAACCGCATGCGACGCTCAGCCATCAGGGAAGAAGAAATTCACGAAGAAATGAAGCCCCAGAAAGTGTCTCGAAGAGCAGGCCTGGTGTACCTTCCCTTGGGCTGCCCAGGACCAGGCTCACGAGGCGGGGGCCAGGTCTCCTTGACCTTGACCTCGAGCAGCTACTGAAGAGTGGGCAGGCACCTGCCGATGTCCTACTCCAGGCCCAGAAGCGACCCTCGGAGAAAAACCAGGAGAAACCCGCCTCCTGTTCCCCGCGCCTCTCGCGCCTGTGACCTGACCCAGGCCCTGTTCACCCGAACTCGTGTTTCATTTCCCTGGATGCTGTCCTCGCAGCGCGTCACCTCTATGCCCGCCCAGCGCCTCGCAGACGCAGCCACCCGGGCCCTCGCCCGTGTCTGCGAGGTGCCGGGCTCTCACCACACCACAGGCCACTGTTCCGCATTCATGTCTTGGCATTACTTACACTCTTGTAGACTTGCTCTTTTATAAGTGACGTGTAAATAGTTCTCCACTCCTCCTTTCCTGGATGCCTATGGTCTTTCTCTCTGTCTCTTTTTTTTTTTTGTCCAGTACATTTTGCTTCTGTGTATGACTCTGTTTTTGAATCCATGTCTCTTCTTGGTAGTATTTTTTAAATAAATGTTTACAATATTAGAACTGGGACGGGTGGCATTGGTCTGTAACTCCTCCCTGTGTTTCAGGGCCGTGGCGTGCGCCGTAAGGGCAGGCGTCTGTTTGCCTGAAGGGGTTGGGCGCTCCGTGTGGGGCTTTATAGGAAAGTGGCAGAATCCCGCATCCTGTGTCACCGTCAGCCATTCACAGGCACTTTCCCTGCCCTTGACGCTCACTTGCCAGCAGCCTGGCTCTTGTCGGCAGCACCAAGAGTGGGCTGTGTAACTGTCAGGCTGCCACTGACTCACGGCATCGGGGGAGGACACCTGTCCTGCTTCTGGGGGCCCAAGAGTCAGTCCCTCCGCTGGTGCTCTTTATCTCTGCCCTTGAACTTCTAGCACTGCCCTCAGCCCCCAAAGTGCCCCTCACTCGTGTTCCCCATGCCAGGTACCGTTTCTGTGTGTGGGTGAGAAGCACAGTGTGCTGGCCTGCGAGGGGACGGACGTGCCATCCCGGGCCCTGCCTCGGCCTCTCCCCACCCCCAGCCGGGGGCCTCTGGGGGCGGTACTGGCATTTTCTTGTCTGAGTCTGTTTGGTGCCAACTGACAGCTGGGAAAGGGGCCAGTCGGAAGTGAGGAGTGGCCCGAGTTAATGATACTTATTAAGCCAGGCCTGTGGGGGGGGGGCACGGACCCTGCTCGCCACCGTGTGGTCAGCAGCACAGTTCAGCAAAGCCTGTGTACGGCAGCCCTCGGTGGCGAGACGGGCAGCATGCCAGGTGACGGAGGTGATGCACCACTGCCTGGGACGGGTTTGCTGGGACCCGTCTGCGGGTTTGCAGGCCCAGCAGCCCACAGCGGTGAGGAGGTTGGGTCTCCACCCTCTCACTTCACGGGCAAAGACAGGCCTGGGCCGCAGAGTCTGGTAGCAGTTGCTTGGCACTGGGCACCCACTCTCCGAAGTCTGGGCTGTTCTGTGGGTGGCAGGCTCGTCACTGAAAGACGCCTCTCAGTGGGAAAGAAGGCATGGAGCGACGGCGGTGGCAGGTACAAGGGACAATGGCTGCTTCCCTCGGCAGCTGGAGACGGGCCGCCGAGCCCACCCAGCAGCCTCGGGCAGGCGTGTCGAAGGGCACTCTCCCAGACAGGAGTCTGCCGTGTGTCGCCTGGGCTCATACGTGGGGCTAGCTCTTCCAGGACAGTGGCTCTTAAACCTTTTTAGGTCACAGGAGCCCTTGGGGACTTCAGGCACACTGGCCCTGGCCCCAGCCCCAGAGCAGTGCACACACGCGTGCACAGCGGCTCCAGGCAGCTCTGTGTTCGGCCTCGAGGTCCAGAACCAGGGAGCAGCCAAGGGCCGACCCCACCAAACAAAGCCGTGCTGTGGACATCAACCCCACGAAACGTGAGCCCGAAGTGTTGGAACGTAAAAAGCACGCCCGGAAAACCGCGCGTCACCCGTGGGCGAAGGGAGGAGTACATTGTGGTCAGTTTTGGTGGCGTGTTCCCGAGCACTGAGAATGAACCAAATGGCCACAGCACCGTACGAGGGTGTGCCTCAGGGCAACGTGGGCAGAATGGGCACAGCTGGTCTGGGGTCCGGTGCTGGGGGTCAGGATGGAGGGAACGGGCGGGGGTCGCCGCACGTGGGGCAGAGGGAGCTGTGGGGTGCAGGCCGCTGAGCGTGCCGCACGGGGACAGTCCGTCCAGCGCACTCACACTTCGGATGGGAGCGCATTCTCCACGCCTGAGTTCCGGTGCAGGCTTCCTCGAAATCCCAGCTCACACGAGCGCCCCCGCTCCTCGCAGGTGCGTCCGCATTTCGCACAGGGCCTCTCACCCGTTTCTGAGGACGGTGGGTCTGTCACTGTCCTCGGTAGATGAGTGAGGAAGCTGAGGCTCAGAGACGGGAAACAGCTTGCCCAAGGGCGCACAGCAGGTGCCGGCTTACAGGTCCTCTGCCAAGGCCAACGTTTGACGGCACAGATGGCCCCAGCAGGACTAGCAGGGACTCCTGCCCGGAGCCAGGCTCCTCCCTCCATCGTGGAGAAGTTAGGCATTAGCTCGCTCGCCTTCTCTGGTGACAAGATACTTTATAGGAGGTGTTCCCAAATCCAGTGTTCTAGGAAAACCAAATTCTGCGTGCTGGCTTGGCACAAGGCGTTAGGTGGGACAAGAGTGTCCAACCGGTCTTGGGACCAACCTGTCCCTGCCTGCACCTGCCCTCATCCCTGGTGGTCCACCCGGCCTCTCGGGCAAGGTCCCCAGCTCCCAGCTGGGAGGGCTGACACACGGTGTCTGGGTTGGCCTGTCTGTGGGATGTGTCACGTGGCATCTGGGGCCAGTTGGCTCCTTGTCTGCAGCAGCTGCCTGATGGCCTGTTGCCCCTAGAGCCTCGGCTTTTCTTACACGTTTTTATTAACTCTTCAAACACGTAGGAAAATACAGAAGGGACTATTCCCCATCCAGTTTAATAGGTAAATACCTTCAGACCTAGACTCAGGATGAAGACTTGCGTGTGTTTTAAGTAACCAGGAGCATTGCCCACTACCCTGGGGCCCCTGCGCTGCTGCCCCAGCTGCTGAGGTGAGCCCACTCTGCCCCCGAGACACCAGTGTGCTGACGAGCCCCGCCCCCACTAACCTGGAGAGACCAGGGGCGCGGGCAGGGTGGAGGCCCCACCTTGACAGCCGGCGGCCGAGAGTGAGCCGGGGTTGAAGAGATCAGCCAGAGGGAGTGGGGTGCAGTGAACAGATTGGTGGGTGCTCAGCGTTCTGGCTTTGGGGGCGCTCACTGGGCTCGAGTGCAGGGTGGCGGCCCTGTTGGTGTTTGCGAGGTGCTGAAAGCCCAGTGGCGGGCTGTCCCTGCCTGTCCGGCCTCCCCACTGAGTTGGGTCTGGACCAACTCAGTTAAAACCCAGCCAGGGCAGGTGTGTGGGCACATGCGCGGGGGTGTCTCAGCCTGAGTGACCGCCGAGTCCTGTAATTAGTGACCACCGGGGTGGCTCTTTTATTTTTTTCAGGTGTGTGTTTACATACTCTGAAAGTAGGAATGGGCACATGAGGGTCAGTCCCTCTGCCGTTGGTCTGGGGCCTATTTCCCCTGGTGGTTTCAGAGCAGGTTCCTGGGTGCGTGTGAATGAGCCGGTGGAAAGGTGATCCAGGCCGCTGCGGGCTGGGCTGGAACCGAGCCTGTCTCGTCCGGCCACCCAGTGATGTGGACTCCAGTGCTGAGAGTCCCCTGGGGAGCAGGGCGGGCTTGTTCTCTTGAGGTTTGTCCTCCATGGCCTGAGGGCTGAGAGGTTGCCTCTGGCAGCGACAGACAGAGCCCCAGGGGTGTGTTCCATCCCCAGCAGACCTTTGGATCAGCAGGAGGACTCCCAGACCCCCTCTCTGACTGTGTCGGGGGTCAGGGCCTGACCTACTTCCCAGATCGTCCGGTCCCTGTCCCAGGGCCCCAGGGCCCGTGCACAAAGGCAGTGGGGAGAAGCAGTGGGAGCTCGGGGGAAGGCACCTCCGCCCCTGTTCCCCCCAGTCTGCCTGGCTGTAAGGCTCAGACCTGGACACCCTACAGCGAGGTGCTCTCTGGCTGCCGAGGGTTGAGAGCTGCCCCTGGGGCGTGTAAGTCACTGATAGACAGGAAACACGGAAATGCTGCAGGGTGCCGAGCGGGGCCTAGCCCAGGGTGGTTCTAAAGGGCTAATAAAAATCCACCCATTAACTGTGACAGCTCAATGGAAAATTTTTCAACAATTGTGAAGGGGCAGCAGCAGCTCCTGAGGAGGCGGGGAGATGTTGCCATAGTAACGTCAATACAGGTTCTTCTCTGAGCAGTTGAAGCAGCCTGGGAGTGAGAAGGTCCCACTGCTCTGGCTGACACAGGATGGGGTGCCGGACACACCAGAGCGGTGTTTGCGGGGGGTGCTCAGCCTCGCCCCGGGCCTGCCGCAGCCTCTCCAGACTGAGCCCCGGCTGCCTCCGGGCAGAAGGGGTGTTTTCAGAACACACCCGGTCTGGAGAGCGCCAGGGCGAAAGCGCATGGTGTGTGTTCCCAATACCTTGGACCACGGGCATTTTAGCAGTAGCCGATCAAGGGGAGCTGGGAGAGGGGTGTGGTTCATGCAGCACGGTTTCCGTCCCCGCGCAGCCTAGGCCCCGGCAGCCGAGGGGCGCGAAGTTCCCGGGCACAGAGGGCCTGTGGGCACGAGTCAGGCGAGCTTTCTGCTTGCGGTGTGCAGGCGTTGCCACTTTTATTCGCGAGACCCACGCAGCACATCCCACCCCCCTGCCGTCTGCGGCGCACTGGCTGCGGCACGGCCGTGCGTGTCTCCGGCGAGCCTCTCGGCAGACCTGTGCCACGGGCACAGCAGTTTCCAGAGGGAATGGGCAGCCGGTGCTGAGTGGCATCTCGGCACCGAGGCAGGGTTTCCGTGCCAGGGGTCTTGTGTTAATGGGGTGAAGAACAAGAGCGTGTTTTCTGCTGCTACCTCTCTGAGCCGTGCTCTGAACCTGGGACCCTCCCCGTCCCTGGTGTACTTTGGGTGTCCGCTACCAACGTCCCCACGGAGACTGTCAAGGCCTCGGTTCCCCTCGGTCTCCGCTCAGTCTGTCTGACCTCAGCTTGGAGCCAGCACAGCCCACTGCCTGCTCACATCCGAGACCACAGGGTCCTCAGCCCGACGACACTGCAGCCAGAGGGCTGCTTGGAACCAGGCCACAGGGCGGGGCCGCCGTGACAGTGGCCTCTTCCTCCTCACCGAGAACAGTTTGTTTTTGACACCGCCCAGGTTTTTGCTTCAGCAAAGTTGGAAATCAAAACTAAGCACCCACCTAACCAATCCTACGGCTAATAATTCATTGTAATAATACCTACGCCTACTCAGGGTTTTGGAGGTGGGGGGAAGGTGGGGCCGGGGCCCGAGGAGACACCCATTCCGGGATGCCCGGGCCCCTTCACCGCCGGCCGAAGCGGAAGCTGAAGCCGCCTTTCTTCCTGCTGTAGCCGCGGAGCTCTTTGGCCAGGGTCCCCAGCAGGCTGCGCGCCTCCTCGCCATCAGCAGGGAGGAGGCCCGCAGCCCCACTGCCGTCTTCCTGCCTCCTGAACCGAAACCTGAGGCCCGCGTACAATCTGCCCGGCAGCTGCGGCCCCTGGGCCGTGACGAGCAGGGGGCGTGCGGCTGTCAGCCACAGAGAGGAGCCCCATGGGAGGCAGGCGCGGTGTCCCCCCGCCAGGTCGGCGCCGCTTGTTTTGCTCTGGACGCCACCCCTGGCCTCCGTGGGCGCTTCTCTGTCCAGCAGAGGAAGGCAGGTGCCCAGCGGCAGGAGGAGGAGCCAGGACAGGAAGTATGGGTTCGCCATCTGGTCCGGAGGAGAGAGGGAGAAGTCAGAGGCTGCCCGCCTGGGCCGTGTGAGACACTGGGCACCCACTCCCCAGGGTCTGGACAGCCGCCAGGGGTGTGAGCTGGGAGGCAGCACAGGGGTCACAGCTGGTCCCCCCTCCACCATCGGGGGTTGACGGCCATGGCAGGTTAGGGTCTAGTCCCACTGCTGCTGGAGTGGCCGACAGCACCCAGGCAGCCCCCGGAGGGCCGGGCAGTTGGGGTTTATTCTTCTCTTACAATGACTGACTCTGGCCGAATCACCCCAGAGCCGCGGGGCAGAGAGTCAGCAGCCTCGCTCTCTTTGTCTCCGACTGCACAATGAATGGGTCTGGCCGGGCTGTTAGTGGGCCGCTCTGCTGCTGCCTCTGACCCGGAAGCTCGGTGCCCCCTGCGGAGGGTGTGCGCACCTGGCGGGGGGGCCGCTGGTCCCCATGTCGGCTTCACCACAGCCCCAACTTTCAGGCTCCGTAACTCCCACTTTTTGCCACGAGAACCGTCTGGAAGACTAAGGGTTGTGCCTCTGCCGGCCCGTGGGCACTGCCGTCTGTCCACGTCTGCTACTGTCCTTACTACCCTTCCCCAGGAGGTGGTGCCCTGTTCGGTGGCGGCCGAGGCACCTCCAACAGGTGCCTTGCCCGAGGCCCCACAGCTTTGCCAGCGACGGCCAGGGTGCAAGCTTGGGTCTGACTGGGCTTGACTTGGGAATCACTACATGGATGGGGATCCGCGGTGATTTGAACCTGGGCTAGAGCTTCCCAACATGCCCCTGCCTCGGCCTCACCAAGGAGGCCTTTTTGGTAGTGGTCGTGGGGGTGTGTCACGGCCGGCGGGTCCTCTGGGGGGAGCAGGCTGACATGAAGAGCTGGTTCTGGGGAAGACGGCCCAGACTCCCGGAGCACACTTGGCCTCAGAGCCGTGCAGAACCCACAGAAGCAGCCCTCCTCTCCAACCGAGCCCCTCCCAGGCCTCCCATCCCCCAGGGCTGGGGCCACCTCTGTCTGGCCCGGGGGGACGGGTGCTGTGGACAGCTGTTGGAACCAGGCAGGCTCCCCGCTCATGGATGAGTCCACTTGGGGAGTGGCCCCTTCAAGAATCTGGTGGAAGCTGGGGACACTTGCCACCTAAAATTGGGCCCTGGCACAGTCGGGGCTTCGGTGCCCCGACAGTCAGGACACAGCAAGAAGCACACAGGACGGAGGGCTGGGGCCGAGCCCCGGAGGGCGGCTCCGGCCAGTGTGCTTCCCTGGGCTGCAGGGGGAGGTGCAGTTCTCAGCTCCCTGGGCCTCCCCAGCCCCGCAGTTGCCCCTGCCCAGCCCCCAACCTGGATGGGGGCCTGAGAGGAGTCCCTGCGGGGTACGGCGTACTCACCGTGCTATAGGCCCCGGCTCCCGGCAGGGCTGGGTGGGCTCCTCTGGGCTCTGGTCCAGGAGATGCAGCCCCCCGCGCTCCCTGCTTTATGTGGGCCAGCTGCGTGGGTCTGCCGCCCTGGGTGTGCTGATTGCTCCACATTCCTGGCTCTGGGATTCCACTGAGGACCCCGGTGGTGAAGGAGGGGGCGGCGCTGACCGCTCGCTCGGGTAAGAGACCCAATGCAGGATGCGGTGTGATGAGGGCAGGCAGGCCGCCCTCGCCTCCCTGGGAGGAGGGCCGGCAGCATCATTAACTCTGAATTACGGGCGCCGGCCCTCGAGGGCCGTGGAGGAGGCCGCAGTGCCCGCCCTTAATAACCCTAACGACCCTGCCTCCGTCGGATCTGCCTCGCGCACCGACTGCCCGGCTGGCACGGCCACCCCCGTTGGCTCAGGCGCTTGGACACCTGTGCGAACAGCACCCGGCTCCCGCTCATCAGCCGCGCGGCTGAGAGGTGCCTCCGTTTACCGGCTCTGGAGCCGTGAGCCGGGCAGCGAGGTGTCACTTCCCACAAGGGGGGGGTGCAAGGGGCCCAGAGCCCCCGGCCCAGGCGAGCTCTTGCTCCAGCCCACCCAGTCCTTCCCCTCTGGAAGCCCAGTGCCTGGCTCAGTGCCTACGCCCGTGTGGGAAAGGAGGGGCTGGGGCACGGGCGTGTGCATGTGTGTGCACATGAGGGGGTGCAATGCCATCGTCTGCTCTCCCTGGTCAGCGCTGGCTGGTCATGAGGCCGGGTGCTGGCTAACGATGGGCGCAGCCCGCAGCAAGTCACTACTGCACTGTGAGGCCCCGGGCCAGGCTCTTGCCCTCTGTGCCTCAGTTCCCCCAGCTGAGAGGCTGGGGTTCCCACACTGTGCTCTGCGGACCGCTGTGGCGGGTGGGGAGGGCAGCTGTGGGGTCCAGCCCTGGGGACCGTTTGACACATGGGGTTTCAGGAGAGGGTTCTGCTGTGAAAAGGGCCCCTTTCAGGACTAGGGCTGGAACCTCTGGGAAGTGACCACTGAAAGTCCAGGGTGCTGGCACAGGTTTGGGGTGGAGGCTGGGTCGGGGCAAAGTGTAAGCAGGCCCGGATGTGGCCCACTGATGCCTCAGCCCAGCCCCACCCTCGGCAGAGGTGCCTGGAGCCAAGTCCGATGTGGGTTTTGGTGCCAAACTTCGCAGTTCCAAGGTTTTTCCAGGTGCCCCAGGATACCTGGCCAGGAAGCATGTTTTTCTGTGCACTTCCTGGGCTCCTCAAAGCCTCTGGGTTCCCTCCAGGGAACGAGCCCCCCACCCCAAGCAGCTGGTGGGGGTAACAACTGTGACAGTTTCTGCCACTGCCAGGATTCGACCTCTGGTAGAGGCATGTGGCCAGGGTCTGGGCCGCAGCTGGGTCTCAGAGGCCACCGGGACCCCTTCCGGTCAGCTCTGGCAACAAAGAGGCTGCAGTGAAGGGAGCAGGGGGCCGGGGCCCTGCTCCCTCTCAGGCCGGCAGCCACCTGCGTGAGGCTCCCTGGGAAGCTGTCCCGGGGGAGGGTCAGGGCCACATCCCAGCATGTCCAAGCTGACCAGCAGCTTGTCCTTGCCTCTGAGAGCGTGGGCCGAGGGCAGGACCTGCCGGGGTAGCGGCCTGGTGCTGCTGAGCCAGCGCCTCGGTCAGCTCTGGGGCACACCTCCGCCTCTAATGCCACCGGAGCCTGAGAACCGGTTCCACACCTGCTCAGCCACGAGCCAGCTGTGGCCTCGGGTGACTCCCATCCCTTTCTGAGCCGCCGTCTCTCCACCTGACTGGGGATAACAGCGGTGCCCACGTCCCAGGGGGTTGTGAGCCACTGGTGGAGCCTGGGGAGGTGATCCGGAACCCACTCAACCCGGGTTGGCTGCTGCTGGTGCCGGAGAGTCCAGCCGGCACTCGCTCCATGGGCCCAGGTCCGTGGGGGGTCCAGCTCCTCCTCTCCTGGGGACCCCTCCCATGCTGCATTAGGCCCAGTTTGGGGCTAAACTACAAGCACCCTCATCAGCCCTGAGAACCCTGTTGTGGCTGAACTCACTGTCTCCCGTTGGCCACCCCTCACACCCTGTGAACTAAGCCAGGGCAGCTTCCCAATGAGGGACCAGCCACAGGGCCGAGGGGGAGGGGCCGAGTTGGGGGAGGCTGTCACCTGTGGCCCGTGGAGAGGCAGATGGCCATGGTCACTCACAGTGGCCTGGCCCACCCCCAGGCCCCCCGTGGGCCCGGTATGGAGCTCCCCAAGTGGGCAGCGAAATGTGCCCGTCGGCTGAGGACTCCGTGGAGGGACCAGTCCCCACGGCACTGCGGGGACGGGCGGGCGGCTGCCCCCGCCACAGGCGCTGGGTGTGCGGTCGGCTCCCGGACTGGACCCACCCAGGCCGGGCCTCCCAGGCAGGCGCTCAGTAATTACTGGATTTTATTAGATAAGCTCAGGGCACTGTTTTATCCCTAAGCTTCGAATTGGTTTTATGAATAAAGAGCCACTGGGGGCTGTTCTTAATACTCTCAACTCCTCTGGAGTCCAGCCACAAGGGACCCACGAGGACAACTTGTCACCCCAGGGACCCCGATGCGGTGGGTGCACAGGCAGAGCGGCCCAGGCTTGCCCCCAGCACCCAGCCCCTTGGGTTTAAGGCTCCTTGGGGAGTGGTGGGGGCGAGTCGGGGAACCGCAGGCCGTCCTGGCACCTGGTGTCTGACCCACCACATGCTCCCGTGGGTGCGGAGTGCGGTTAGAGGCGAGGCCCGAGCCAGGTCACCACGAGACTTTATTGGGGACAAGAACACACACAATGCCACGTGCTGTCGGTGAGGACTGGCACCCGCCACTACCGTGTGGGCCCACAGGCAGCTCTGCCGGCCCCCGTGCTCACTCCTGCCCGGCCTTGAGGGCTCGGGCTTGGGCTGGGGCCAGTCCCTGCCAGCCACGCCCCCAAACCCCACCCCAGGCCAAGCTCAGCCCCCCGCCCCCCTCCCGGTTTGTCCTGTCCTGCCTGCTGCCCAGCCCCTGAAGGGGCTGGGACTGTCTTCTCCCTGCAAGCAGGTGAAGCACTGAGGCCCTGGGGAGGCCTTGGTCACTCAGAGTGTCCTTTGTTGTGTGACCAGCGTGTCTGCTGTGTCCTGCCAGCACGTTGCTCCTGGGTGCAGGACACAGTTTGCAGGTGTCCTCGTTCCCGTCCCCGTCCCCAGGCAGCAGGTGGGCACCCACGCCCGCTCTCCCCTCTGGCATGGCAGGTGCCGCAGGCGGTTCCCGTTGCCCCCAAGCCTGCAGGTCTCCGGCCCTAGAGGCCTGCGAGGGTGAGTGACAGGAGGGTGCGGGAGGCGGGGCCGGGAGGAGGTGAGCACTGGCTTCTGCCCCGCCTGTTTGCGTGTGGCCGCAGAGGCAGCCGCACTCCGCACTCCGAGGGTTGCCCACTGCTCTGTCCTGACTGCTGAGGTCACGGGGAGCTGAGGGGAACCAGGTCTGTCCGTCCTCTGGACTCGGGAGCTCAGGTGTCCAGCCAGGTGGTTGGACTCAGAGACACGCCCAAGTTTGGGAGGCAAGGCCCCAGGCCCCCGCTGACTCCTCGGAACCTGCCT